ATGTATTTTACATTCAGCTGGAAATAACTACTAAACACTGCCAAATACAATCTAGTCTGTAACAAAGAAAAACCGAAAAAAACAATAAACATGTAGAGCAAATGTGGTGGCAATACAAAAATAGACCTACGGTTGTTCAAATGTTACTGTTACTCTAATTGTGACATAAACAACACAATACAGCAGTAGGAGTGACTCAGTATTAACTTATAAACAACACAATACAGCAGTAACAGTGACTCAGTATTAACTTATAAACAACACAATACAGCAGTAGGAGTGACTCAGTATTAACTTATAAACAACACAATAGAGCAGTAACAGTGACTCAGTATTAACTTATAAACAACACAATACAGCAGTAACAGTGACTCAGTATTAACTTATAAACAACACAATACAGCAGTAACAGTGACTCAGTATTAACTTATAAACAACACAATACAGCAGTAGGAGTGACTCAGTATTAACTTATAAACAACACAATACAGCAGTAACAGTGACTCAGTATTAACTTATAAACAACACAACACAGCAGTAACAGTGACTCAGTACTCACTTGTCTCGTCTCTCCTCCAGTTTCTGAGGTTTGGTCCTCTGAGATTTGTCTCCCATCTTTGTCCCCTCCAGCTTCCCCACCAGGGACAGCACCTCTCCGGTGGGTTCATCCCTCCGTGTGCGATCGATCAGAGAGCGATCAGCTTGTAACACCAAGTTTGAGTTCTACCAAATCAAAACAAAGCCGACATCAGGCTTGCACCGCTGTCGCTAGGCTACATGCTAATAGGCTAATAGGAAGCTAAACAAGAAGACACATATATTAAAATCATAGGGATAGTTAGCTGAATAATAGAACGACATTTACAGGCAAACAGAACTACAGTACCTCTGCATCCTATCTGTTAATAAATAGTTTGTCCGTAAAGAAAAGGACTCACCGCTTTGTACTCGTACTGCAGGCTACGTGCGGTCACATCCGCCATGCTGCTACTTTAGTCTTTACGGAACTTTACTGTCTGTGGACCAGCCTGCTGACTACAAACATCCACACAGCTCACTTCACTCTGTTTGGTTTGAACACGCTGGAAACATTGGTCACTGTCGACTTTGTCTGTGCATGAGATTGTTTTCTGTCCGAAGTTCATTCAACACGGTGCGTCTCTCATACGTTACAAAAGCTGTGGCTAACACGAGCGCACCGCGGCTTCCTCTTCCGGTGTCAAAGGTCACAACAGGCGGTAAGAGCAGCGCCCCCTGAAGGGTATAAAACATGGACTGTAATAAAGAATGTACTGTAGGCCAAGGAGTGGGCGACTGGCGGCCCCCATCAACCCCTCAATGTGGCCCTCAAGGTCAATTTGTACATATCAGTGAATTGGAAACATGAAAGAAAACGTGACAAAATCTGCCCTGAAATCATGAAAACCAGAAATACGTCCATAATAATGTTTGATCACTGGTATAGGTTGAGTTCAATTTGAGACATAATTGATTTTTTTTTATAATTGATTCATAATTGATCGTTTTTGTATGCTACAATTTGGCCCTTTGGCATGGAGAATTAATTGAATGTGGCCCTTGCCGTGACCAAAGTTGCCCATCCCTGCTGTAGGCTATATATATAACAACAAAATAACTAAAAGAGAACATGACGAACATATTTTCCCATGAACAGCAAAAAGTCCACATGTAGACCTATTAGGGTTTTCCCAACTACCGTACCCAGACCCCTCTTTGCATGGCAAAATATTATCAAAGCGATGATTCTGTGTGGACCATGTGGACCCAGACAGTTTTGTCAGAAAACATTCAACAATAAAAAACTTAATTATTGTTTGCATCCTCTATACAAGGAAATATTAATGCTATCAGGACAGAGTTAAAATGAACACTGACACTAGCATTATACTGCACTGACATTACTGCTGCATTATAAACCATTTGTGATTACACATGTATGCCAAATCCCAATTTTGATTATTCTTTTAAGTATGATAGAGCTCATCTAAGAGACAAGTCAGAGGGAGTCCTTTTTTAAGATTTACTTTATTTAGTGTGCTTTACTTTATTCAGTGGGCTTTATTTAGAGACACGACAGTGGATAGTGTAGGAAATTGCACAGAGAGAGAGAGGGAGTGGGGAATTACATGGGCCACAGGATGGATCGAACCTATAATATACAGTGTGTATACTGTCCGCTTTCAGGCCTGTGGTTTCTGTACAGGGGGCACGTGAACTAACCACTAGGCCACCGGTGCCCCAGTAGAGGAGGGGAGTGTGGACAACAGGAACGCGAGGAATACAATAGGAGAAATCGTGTCTGCATATTATCCCGCTTTGTCTAAAGCGTCTCCAGATAGCACAATAAAAATAATGATTGATTGATTGATTAATACCAGTGTTCTATTGCGCTACATCCTGGTAACACACACCTTCCCAAATTTGGATAAACACTTCTTTAAATAAGAAAAAAAAAAGAATTTGGAATCGCACACAGCCTTATGATGTGTAGCCTACTCTTAAAACACTATCGATTTCTGAAACTTGCATTGCAGTTAATGTTCTTACTCAGGAAAAGACATAAAGACAAAGAACAATGAAAACATGATGCAATATTGTTTAATACAGTGTTATGAGGTTAAGCAACATCTATATTTTTAAAAGTCGTAATAATTATCAGGTATTTCAAAATGCTTTTCGCTGTATTTTCATTTTCATTTTTTAGTGCCTAGTGACACAATGATTTTTCTTTCCAGTAGAGTTTTCTCTCCTCTGAAGCCACTGTTAGACAACACAATCAGAGCTAAATAACAAATATTAAGTAAATACATTAATTTGGTAAACTAACACCTTTCACATAACAAGGTTAAAAGTACCTCACAAAAATACCAGTAATAATAAAAAACAATAGAAATGGGCTAAAAACTAAAAAATGTGCATAAAGGAATTTGTTGCAAATTGTGTCAGAGCAACATACTCAAAGGCACTTTAAACTTCTTTTTTCAGACGGACCCCAGGGGACAACAATTAGAAGCTGGTTAGAAGACCTAATAGATCTACTAGAGATGTAGTGATGGAGCAGTTCAGGACTGCAGAATCCAGATTTTGATTGAAAGCCAATGTTGGGAAAATAAGATGTGGAAATGTGAGTTTCCCCACTGGGTCTGTCAGACTTGAAGCAGCATGTTTGATCATTTATAGACAGTCGAGGGAGGACTTACAGAATTAGGTGAAAAGGGAATTTAAGAGGTTAGATACAAAAGCATAACTAAGCATCTCTATCTCAGCTTGTGGGACAACACATGTATTATTGTTATGTACATCACCAATTACTTTGTCAGATAAATAGACTGCACTTGCAGCATTCACATCCAGATGGCAGCAAAGAGACCAATTTCAAGTTAAGTTTCCCTAGTAGACTTCCACTTGTGTGCAGGTAGAGATCAAACCAGAAACACTACAATCGATGAATGGCCCACTCGACCCTGTGAGTCACAGCTGCCCCCATACATGTACTAAAGTTCCCTGTGTATGTCAATATAGACCTTTTTATGGTTTGCACAGGGATCCAACATGTTTCTGGATGCACTTGTGTACATTCTGTGTGTTTTGTCTTAATTGACTTGTAAAATATTGTGAATTTCAGAGGAGCACATAAAATCAAGTAGTGAAGGAATCTGCAGTTTATGTGGGTGTGACAGTTTTCTTGAGCAAGTAGAGCGTGTTCATATTTGTATTTACTGTCCTTGGCCTCATATTACTTTCAACCCATCTGCACATCTGGCAGTGACATCTGTTGTTTTTTTCGGTCAGGCAGAATCTCTGATGGTTTACATCAGCTGAGCCCCTTCTTAACCTCGGTCAAACCCAAAGACAGAAAGAAAGAGAGAGAGAGAGCGGGGGGGGGGGGGGGGGTGACCCAGATATATAGGCTGCACACATCAGTGAAATAAATTATAGGTAACGTGTGTGGGGTCAGGGTGGATTACCCACACTTTGTGCACATGGATGTACACACACATTGGGTGTCATTCAAAATGCCTGTAGTTGTTCCAGGTCATATTTGGAGTGTGTTGATCCTCTTCTCATCTGTCATTGCATCAGTTATGACGTGCACTCCTCTGCCCTGTCTGGTTCAAAGGACATGCAGTCTTGTGATCAACAGATAGGAAGATGGTATGGCCAGTGATTAATTTAACTTCGAACACTTCGTCACTGACTGGGTTAAAACAGCTCAATACACTTTTGAGTTTATACACTTAAACATTCCGTCTTTTCTCCCAGTATGTAAATAAGTCCTTCATTATACTACACTGACAATGTGATCTCTGTCACTCTCGGTCACAGGAACGCCACATGAACACACCTCAGCTGTCCACGCAGCTGCTGCTGTGACGCCATCTGTGCACGCACTCAGTCCAGAAGCTCCCAACAGGAGTGTGAGAAAACACATTGTCTCTGAAACACACACACACACACACACACACACACACACACACACACACACACATTAGCCCTACATGTCGTGTGTGAGCCTTTCAAGAGTAGAAGGGCTGCTTTCTGCAGGTTCAAAGGATTTACACATCTTATGTGACCCCAGACAAGGTTTGGACAAGAGTCTCTCGAGCGAGGTTTAAAGTCTGTGCTGCCAACGCTCAGTATTAACATGACGATGCTTAAAGAGGCTGGGTTAGTCAGGGTATAATTACAGGGTAATGCTGGAACTCCTGACATGTGTCTCCTTCACTATTCTGTTCCTGAGTGAAAAGAAGCCTCACAATGTTTACTCATAACTACCTTGTGCTGATTCATCACATGTACTTTTTATTCACTACTCAATGTTTAATGAACCAGGTTTTCTCATATATATATTTTTTTAAAGCAGCCTTTCTTCCCTGAGCAGCTTAATAAGGCTTTAAAATGTGTTACACTACTGTCAAAAAGCATCTTACACACACAACTGAGATTACATTTGAAAGTGAACACACAACAAAGCTTGGTAATGTCTCTCTGTACAGTTTTATTTACATGATACTATTCTGTTGTAATGCTGGATAGCAAGATTATATGTAATACATAAATAACAACACGGTTTGTTGTTTTTTCTTTTTTGTACAAATTTGCATATAACTAAGAATCAGAAAGGAAAAAAAAAACTCCAACGGATACATACAGTTGTCTTTTAAATGAAAAACACATCCTTACAGGGGGGACAAAAAAGAGGGAGTAACACAAGTCACAAACATACGTGGTTGAATGTGTCAGGCAGCCATGAAAACACACTTCTGCACAGGAATGTGCACACACACACTTCTCTACATTGCTCTAAAGCAGACACACAGACCAATAGCTGTTTAACTGATGAGAAGTTACATCTAATCTTGGTATCTATTATTTTTCATAAATCTAGCTCTGGCATGCTCCTGTAGTTCTGTAAACATGTGCTGATAAACCGGGTAGCTCCACAGACAACAGGGTGGGGCAACAACACACCCACTCACTCACACACACACACATACACTGTGCTCAAATGAACGGTCAGTTAGCGCATAAAAAAAAAAAAAATCATGGTTCACATACCCTAGTTCCACAAATGCACTGAATACATGCGCCAACATCAGTACAATATCTATGGAAGAGGAAAAAAAAGCTAATAAAATATTACATAATTGTCTCTCAGCAAATAAAATGTCTGATACCCTAAGTTGAGTGATGCCAAATATTTCTGAAACACTAATGCAGATGAAAAGTATCTCATGCATTTATCCCATTCATTCATTCATGCTCCTACAATATTGTTGCTTGAATTCACCTACCAGGCCGGGCCAGTGAAGGGTGCCATCCTCCCTCTCAGGCCACACACAGTCCTGCACCAGGCGTCTGTGATTACAATATGGGCGCAGAGCTCCTTTACCCATAACCACCATTAAAAATGTTAAGAATTCAGTGAAACGTGGAGTAATTTGTTTGTCCCTGTCTAGCATGATACCTCCAGCCGTAATGGAGCAGCCTCATCACAATCAAACCGATCAAAGTCAACACAGACATGCTGATCAGAGGGGTCATTGAGGCTGCCTATCAAGATGATCTGCTGGGCTGGAAGCTAATGAAAACTAAGTAAAAGGGAAGACGAGAAAGCTTAACACAGCAGCTGTGAGGTAGGTAAAGCTAGGAGAGACAGAGACAAAGTAACAAAGCCCCTTGTGCGTGGCTGGGGACAGTTGTACGGTTCTCCAAAACGTGGACTGACTCCGGTACCAACGGAGCACAGGTCATGAATTCAAAAAAGGTTGAGGGAGATAACTAGTGTGGACTGTAACTGTGTGGTCTGAATGTTTAAAAAGACCCGCCAGTGTCTGACACAAGACAGGCTCTGAGTAAAATTGTTTTTCGGTTTGGCACAAAATGGCGCCTGGTTTGGATGAGAGGAGCACAGCATATCCTGGACATTTAGCCTGGATGCTTTTAATAAGACAATACATATTCTTAAAAAAAAAGAAAAAAAAAGGACTGAACAGCGGCAAAGTCACACCACAGAAAACAGAATAAAACAAACTAATGAATTAATCAAAAAAAGAGAAAGTGATCATTCATGCATCTCCCTCAGACAGGGTCTTTTTTTCTTCTTTTTTCCCCATCTTTTTCTTGAGGTTGTAATTCTGTAAATCAAGTCCATTCAATCCTCACTTCTCCACTCATGTCGGTGCTCGTTTTTTAAGGTTCACACTCATACTCAAGTCTTTGTCAAAGTTGTTATCATCGATGCCGCCAAAGCTGTTGTTTTTTCACATCTATATTCTCTGGATCTTGTCAGCTACCACCACAGGGTTCTCTTTGCGGATCTTGGCAGCAGCCTCAGCCTTGTAATCATAGGGGCAGTTGTGCTTGTCCGAGTACCGGTGGATGCCACAGAAAAGGTTGCCACAGCGACAGTCGAACCCTGGTAGGACAAAGGTCAGTGGTCAAAGACTGAACAGGAGTGTTGATGAGAAGTTCAATCACTGCAATAAATTCATAGTGTTGCAACAGATGCCCCTTTCTGTCCCCCCTTCTTACCTGTAAGGCCCACCCTTTTGCGGCACATGAAGCACCTATTCTTCTTGGGTTTGGGGGTGTCACCCTTGCTTTCTTCACTGCTGGAAGAAGCTACAGGAGAAGGGCTAGTAGCAGCAGGCTGGCTAATAACTACACATAAGGAAAGAGAACAAGGAGAAAACATTGTTTTAATCATGCAGCTCTGGTATCTTTAACTTGCAATATTAGCAGAAAAATTACTTTTGTTTTTGTTCCTTGAATTGATGCAGACATATTTACAACTGGAAATTGTGTACTTTTATCCGAATGGATAGTAATAATTGTGATGCTTGTCTCTAAATTATTTTTGGCTACTACTAGAGAAAGCCTGCAGCAGGCAGCATCAATGCTGAGGAAGCCCTCTGGTGAAGAGGTATCTTTAAAAGGTCTATTTTTAGGCCTCCCCTTCTTCCTGGAGGCTGAAAATAAAACCAACAGTTTGGTTTAAGGTATTCAGCGAAGCATCAAAAATACACTGTGGCTGCACTGGGCTTTGCAGGGCAATGTTTCCTGAAGAAGTCTGTCAGTGAGAAAACACCTACATCCTGCTTATTTATGTCTGCTTTTCTATTTTGTATGTCTTACCAGGCTCTAGGGATTCTGGCTTGTCCTCTCTCGAAATGCTCATCTCTGTCATTTGTTGAGTCACAGGAAGAGATCCTTGAATATTTCTGCAGGTTTAAATAAAAGGGGGAAACAGGGTTAAAAGTAGGAAAAGGACCAGTCGGGCAACAGTAAGCACATTTATCAATTTCAAGAAAGAAGGTTACCAATCAATAACAGTCAATACTGACCTAGACATGTCTGGTGAAGAGGCAGGGGAGGCTTCAACCTTGGCTAGACTGGCTTCTAGTATTTGGATGGCTGATGCCTCTGAGGATGGACTACCAGCGGAGCCTGGACATGAACAGAGTGAACGTTATTAGATTTATTTCAAAGGGCATGAATAACATTTCAAATCAAGAGTAGACAGTACAAAACATCTATAGTCACATGTGGATTCGGTGTATTTCACACATGTAGCTAAAAACAACTGTAGCGAATGCCAACATTTAACCATTTAAAAATCCCCTCATATACTGAACAAAATAAATAATGACAATGTCTTCAGTTGACATAGGTGTGTTGATATGTGTCAAACAGGTGCCAGTGTCACATTGCGAATGTTTGACCTTAATAATGTCTTAAGGGGTGAACACCCCCCTAACTGTGAACACTGTTATAAAGAAAACAGCTGTCTTTCATTACACAGAGTGGAAAAACAAAGAGGGAGGGCGGGGGAGGAAGGCTGGGAAAGAAACACTGGCTGGTCCAGAACTTGTATGTCAAAACAATGTCAACACTTTCTCAAGCCACACTTCTTGTCTCTGGCTGTAAATTCATGGGTTGGAATACAATTACTTGTTTATGTTAAATACTCAGGGTCTCTGTTTTCTAACAAAACAAAACAATTTAAAGAATTGACTTACCCATAGGGCTGAGGGGGCTCATGCGGTCGCTGCTCTGCTGCCGTGACAGGTTTTCCTTGTAGCATACAGAGCACATACCATTGGTTCTAGGGTTGCCATAGAAACCACAGCCCATGGCACAAAGCATGGGCACCGGGCTCTGGTTCGTCTCTTGGGCCATTGCTGGACAGAATGAGAGAGGGACAGAGAGAATTCTTATTAGACTAAAGGACTAACATGCACATGCAAAAGCGTTCTTCAACATGAATAATCAATGTAAAATACAACCCAACATGTGAGACACAGGACACACATGTGCCTGTGAAGAGACACTGATGCCCTGCCAATCTGCTTCCAAAGAAGCGGGTTGTGCAAACAGATAAGAGAAGTCATAATATTAAAATGTGAGAACAACACATCCATCTGTGCCCTGCCATTTAGCCTGAATGCATTAATGAACTCCTCTCCACAGGAAGACCAGAGAACAAACAACAATCGCTGTGTTCTGCTCAGCACCTTGGCAGAAGCTCCCCTCTGTTCTTTCACACAGCTTTGTTCGCTGTTGTGTCCCCCTTTTCTTCCCCGTCAATACCCTCTTTTCACTACTCTGAGATCAGTTTTTTTTTTTTCCTAAGATGTGACCCAGCTTCTCTCATTTTTACGTCAACTTTTTGATTGAGGAAAACGCTTTCATTGTTCCCCTGTCTCTAAGCTGGCTATAATTACAAAGTTATATTCTATTTCTAAGAGTAAATGGTAATTCATGTTGTGTTGGAAAAGTATGACAAACTAATGCATCATCTTTGAGCATGATTAACACATGACGGCAAATGACGACTCACAATAACCAACACCCTCATCGCTGACTCACAAGCAGAAACTGGGTCACACAAAGAACAAACTGGCACTAAAACAATACTCTGTCCTTATCAAAAGACTTGAGATTATGAATAAAGAAGAACAAGGCAGGCCGACATCAGTCCTCCCCTTCCTCCTTGAGCCTTGCCACAAACAGATTTCAAAACTTCCAGAATCATGCGACAACAAGCGTGTATGTGCGTAACTTGGCCAAGTGTGAAACCCTATGACGTAGTAGACGCTCTGCTTTGTTGCCATGTCATCAGCAGGAACTTCTTTTACGGGAGGTGCTGACTTTGAGGCAACAGATCACAACCACCTTAATGAATGAACAAACAGACAGACAGGAAGTCCCAGATTAGTTGGGAAAAAGGATTCCTGACTGCTAGTCCGGCCCTAACTGGTTTTTACAAATCATCAGCTGAAACCAGACTGGTTTCTGTAAAAAAAAAACAAAAAAAAAACAACACACAGCCAGAATCTGTCACACGCACAGTCAGAGTACCATATTTCCCTCTGTAAACAACCTTTAGCCCTTTGTCCTGCAACATGGCAGCTGCTTCCTTATGTTGGAATTAAGTACGTCTTTATTCTGGTCACAGACAGAGGAACAAGCAGGCTTAATGTTCCAGGAGAGGCTGCCAGTTGTTTCAGAACGTCCTGACGGTTCACTCAAGGTATCCCGACCTCACCAACAGACTTGTAAGTGCTATTAAATCCTGAGCCACCCCCTCCCAGGTCCCCCCGCATGCTATCTCTGTCGTGTCAACAAAGGGTTTCCTTGGAAAAGCCCACAAAGACCTTCTCTCCCTCGACGTCACGTGTTAAACTGCTGAGTGCTCAAAAGGACCAGACAGGAGGACTGAGCAAGAGGCTGGGATCTGCTGAGAAGCTCGAAAGTAATTTTTCTCTACATGGGATAAAAACCGCTTCCATAAACTCAACAACCCCAGTTAAAGTAGACAGCTACACATGAACTGTAGGGCTCGAGCTAAACATGTACTTGACAGCTCCTCGTCGTTTAAAACAGCACAACTGACAAGATAAACAAGGCAAAGAAAGCACAAAGAACGACATAAAGAACGAATGACAAGGCCTATGTTAACTTACAGATTAACTGTAACAGTGGGCTTTGTGACACAAAGAAACAATGGACAGTGTTGCTCAGCTATCACGTTTGGGACAAGCCATCAGACAAACGGTAGGCATGTTTACCAAAACCTTAACTAAGACTGATCAAAATCAGAAGATCAAATCCCTCAAGGAAACCCACATGACTTGAGGAGCATACTTCAGGAGTTTTAAATATCTTGCGATTAATTGGGCCTTTTAGAGAGAAAAGGAAAACATCTTGTTCAAGACATTTAACGGTTGGTTGCTAATGTTGTTAAATCAAAATTAAGGTTAATTTAAAGCTACTAAACTGCCCATTAAGGAAACAATTGTTTGTACCTTGCTATATGAAATTGTCAGAGGATTAAAATGTCCATATTTCTGCCTTTTACAATGTCTTGTCTATTGTAAAAGGCATCCTACGGGGGAAGTCAGGGGGTTTCCAGCACAGGGTAGATTGTGAGTCTCAATCATTACCAACAACTTCCTCCCACAAGTAATAAACTAAAAAAATGTGGAACTGGCCAAACTTGAATCTGTACAGTTTTGTTCCAGATAAGTGAGTGTATTTTGAAGAACATGTGTTAAAATGTCGTGCAAACAAAGGGGAGGACTGAGCTCCTGTATCAGCTGCAGGCTCAGCTCATATTTCAGGCCCTGTTGGGCTGAAAACTACTGAGTCACACTCAGGGACAGAAGAGAAAAAGCCCACTGATGTTTTAACAGACAGTAAATTGTTCTTTTTTTAAAAAGTGAAATAAGGTGTGTAATAATGACCAGAGGCCGATAGGACGGCTACAGCAGTCATGTTTTCTGTATTAAACCACAGTCTAGACAGAGTGGTCTCTGCTCCCTTTGTTTCTTCCTTTGTCTACAATCTCTCTACTTCCTGTTTAAGACATCATTTTGTAGCTCCTCTTTCTAGCCACTTTTCTAATAAGTAACCATTTTGTGTTTTCGACGATGCACTGTGTTCAACCTCGATTATACAATGACTCTTAAGTACTCAGAAACGACTTGGTGTTGCCACATAGCTCTTAACACCAAGCAAACCTCGTTTTCTTCAAAGCTGAAACTACTGCAAACTGAGCAAAGCTCTCCTGGCAGGTCATTTAATATTTAACCAAAAGCTCTGTAGTAATTTCAGAGGAACTCTCTCGCTCTAGTTGCCTATTCGGCTTATGAATTTTCTATTTCTAGACAGGAATTAGCTGGCTTTGGTTCCCCATCCCCCAGCTCGGGGCAAATAGAAAAACAAGAGACAGCTACCAGCAGTATCTAGCTCCCTCCCTTGTTTTTCTCCTGAACCAGACGGAGTCACGTTTGAGGGCTTGTGATATTCCCAGTCATGATGGCGGTGTTGGTTGTGACAACTTCCAACGAACAAAAGGCAAAGAATAAGCTTGTTTACCGTCACGCACACACCACCTGACCTTTCAATCCAGCGTTAAAGGTCGCCATGACCGACAACGAGCCTAGGTAAAGACCCCTCTTTTTTATGTTTATCTCATAAATTGAACTCACTTCAATTTTCATCCTTGATAAGAAGAAAAATAAAAATAATCCAAGATCATCACCTGCTAAAAATCGATGAAGTGTCTCGCGAGACGACAGGGAAAGTATCCTGGCAGAGGAAAAAGGTGGATTTCAGGTGTTGGTAATGTCCTTTTTCTTTTACTGGTGTGTATGTGGCGTTGTCCTCCGTTTCAGGCAGGTTTAAGTGGGTTATTTCTCCCTTCCTCACCCTCCTTCCTCTCTTCCTACCTCTCTCTATCTCCCGTTCCTTCTGGATGGATGTTTGTTTCCTTCTTTAGTAAGAGGAGTGGCGGATGATGTCACAGCCAGAACAACGTGTCGCCATTGGCTGCCCGCGGAGCCCCCGAGCGCTGTGTACAGTTCTGCGAGGGGGTAGTCTGGAGTGCGCATGCGCCAGAGTTGCATTATTACACATCCATTCGTCATCCTCCTACAAGGCCACGCATCTTTTTTTATTGAGCAATCCACCTAAATGGATGGAGCAATGAACAGTGTTGCTGACATGACTGAATAAAAAAAAATAAAAAAATAAAAAACAGATGAATGATTAAGAGGGAAGGTGATGTCCCGAGAATGTCTTTTTTTCCACAAATGTCCCATTTGAAATGGATATTTTTGTCCTGCCCACCCTGTATGATTATTTTTGCCAGAGGAGCAAAAGAGGTGCAGATTTATCACTTTAAAAAATAAACAAGCCAGTTTGTTGTAGCAGAGCTCAATAGTTGACAATGGGTTGCCCACTCAACAACCCACCCGAACTCAGACACACACACTTTAAGTGTTGAATTTAAGAGTGTAAACATGTTGTTTGGGGTGAAACACATCCGATAGGTAGGGTTAATTGACTATGGTGCGATGATTTAATAGGTAACATAATTTTTGGCTACTTATTACATTTATAATTCTGTATTTCATCATTTAATCTTTTATTTATTTCAACTCTAACTTTATCATAACCTGATCCCAGACATTTCTGTATTCCTAATCTGATCAAATCTCAAACAGCTCTTAGTATAGTTCTATGTTATATGTACACACACACACACACACACACACACACACACACACACACACACACACACACACACACACACACACACACACACACACACACACACACACACACACACACACACACGTCGTTTAGAGTGTAAACATGTCATGAGGGAGTGGGAGTAGAGATCGGGACAGTTTCAGGATGTACATTGGTTGTAGGCACCACTGAAGACACTTTGTTTTATTTTAGAGTTTAAAAAAAAAAAATTCTAATAAAATTCATTGGCAGTTTAACAGCAAGCACAACATTATATAAATATTTAAGCCAATAAAATGATCCACATTTCTGTTTGGGAATAACACTGTGGCATTGGGGGAAAGGCTTTGTAATGGTATTAATAGGCGATACATTTTAATGTACCTTTATTTCAACTGTTAAGCCTTATGGTTCTACACACAACCATATGTCGTTGCCTGCACAGGTAGACTACTTAGTTTTGAGTATATACACTTGTGTGCCTGCTGTGAGCTTAAATGCTTTGCATAGGAAATATGAAAACGTTTCCCTTCTCTCACACATACTTACTGTCATATGTGCTGTTTAGTTTACCCTGCAGGTCTAACAAGTCCTGGCATATTCTTCCACCTCGTCAGGATAACGTCACACACATCCCCAGGCATTGCCGGGCACGCTCAGCAGAAAACAAATACTTGGGGTAGGGCGGCTGGGTGTTTTTGTGTGAGTGAGTTTCAGGGAACATAATGTCATATATCAGTGAGTGGATTCTTGGAAACTTAGTACCCTAGTACAGTTTGGAAACAGCATACACAGTCTGCTTGCTCCAGTTTAAACCAGAACTGAAACTAAAGTTGCAGCTGAGTGAAAGCAAAAGTAGGTCCTGCTGTCAAAGATCCCCTAGCCTTCTTAACACACAAACACAGATCTTTACCAACTGTACTTAGTTTGTATTTTCCTTGTTAAGCAACATGAAAAGGAACAGATGACATGTTTATTTATTTACCTCAAGAGTCTGAAACATTGAGCAACAAGTTTTTAAAATACATGTTCAAACCAATGTGTAGTAAACAAAGTGTAAAATGATGCTTTCATTTGCCAAATATGAAATAACTTGTCTTCAAGTAGCTCTATCAAGAAGCTTCTGTTTTAAAAAGAAATCATGTTTTACTTTAGTATTTTATTCTTGTATGTATTTCTTAATCTACAGATTTTTCTTTTGGGGGCTTGTTTTCAGGATTAATAAAAAAAAAGATATAAAGATTTAAACAAATTAGAAAATTAAACTTTTTCTATGAGAAACAGGACAAGAGTTAAGTAGACCTGGGAACTGTGAATTGATCCATGGCGATACTAATATTTGTGGGACAACCAAACCAGTCAGATTGTTTATCTCTGATAAAAACCAGATAAACAAAGCTGGTGATTATCTGAGCTGCGCTTCGTCGTAGGAAGGGCAGTCAATCTTAAATGTAGTTCTTTGTTCCCAAGTGGAGCAAATAACAATAAAAGAAGACATATTATTACTACAAGGGCTTGAGCAGCTCATTCACATTTACAGTGAATAAATCAGAGAGTTATTCAGTACCACATAATGTTAATGTCTTTCAAGGCTTCATTCAAAGAGACAGTTTGATTACAGCGATTTAATTTGCCTACACAACCAGTATGAGGGGAGGATCCTGGAACATTAATCAAAGATAACAGGGACAGTGTAATCAAATAACGCAATCAAATGATGGGAAAGAAATTCACAGATACAATTGGTGGTCATGGTTTGGATTTAAAGTCCTGCTTGAAGAGTGGTTAGTCAGCTGTGATAAACACTCCTAATGTTGTATTTTGATGCAAATTGTCCTAAATGTATCAGACACAGTAGTGTGGTTCTCTTATTGTCCAGATATAAGCTTTTCATATATGAGTAAGGAAAGCACAGTGAGGCAGGGGGAAGGCGTTCTGTGTTTTACACTGAGGTCTTTGTAAGTGTGTGTGTGAGTGTTTTGTTTTGTTAACACAGCCCTGTACAGAGGAGCAGAAAAGAAGGAGTGTGTGTAGTGTATATGTCTGTTTAGTATGTGAAGGTTCATGGGTTTCAGTGATGGGAGGGAGCAGTTGAGGAGAGAGTGGGAGGTATTGAGTATCATAACCCATCCCCCTCGCTGTCATAGCTCAGCTTCTACATGTGTGTTTGTAGGTTTCAGTACCCCTGTGTGTATGTTTTTATGTTTGTGTGTGATTGTGTGTGTGGGCTTTTTGGTATTATGGTGCATGGCTGTATAGAAAGGAGAAAAAGCGGGGTGATAATTCACCTCCACAACCATGATGTGTGCACGTGCGGGGCTGAGAGTGACAATGTTGCCATGACAACAGATGCATACAATTTGCAGCGATGCTTTTTGTTTTGTTTCAGTCTGCCCCTGTTTGTGTGTGTGTGTGTGTGTATGTGAGGATTACTTATGTGAATCTGTGCCAACAGCCTGTCTGTAGTTACCAGGCAGATATTGGCCAATCCAACACACACACACACACACACACACAGAGGCACGGTTTGCCTGTGGCGTCGGCGTGGTGAGACATTGTTGATAAAGGGGCTGGTGGTGGAAATGGCAGCTTATCCATTTACATAAGCTGTGTGCAGGGCTTGATAAGCTTTGCACACAGGCTTTTTAAAACCATTGCTCCAAAACCTGATTCCCCACCCTGCACCATCCACACATTCAACTTCATGCAGCCCCTCAAGAAGGGGTTGACGACGTACGTGTATGTGCTATGTCTGTCTGTCTGTGTGTGTGTGTGTGTGTGTGTGTTAAGGTAAGTAAAGAAAAACATTACTTGAACAGAGGGGGCCTGTCTGTATGATTCAGGGAGATCAGGGGTAGCTTTGTTGTAAATCCTAGGTACTTTCAGCTCCATTCACAATGTGGTTGATGTAATCGTTGGGAAAACACAGGAGGAAACATGTGAGGTTGAATACACTGGGGTCACATATGAGTTTAAATGTAAAAAGGAGGATACAAGGTATTATGACAGAAAAATAAAGAGACAAAGCATTACAGAGATAAAGAGAGAAATAACGAAAGAACAACAAAAATGGTATCAAATGAATGTAAACTGCTGATTCAGCGCCTATACTGACCATTCAGTCCCTCACTAGTGCTGCTACACAATTCCTCTGTCTATGAATGTGTTTCTTGTTATTTCTCACCAGGGAGGAGTCCCCCACAAACTTTCCCAGCAAACTTAACTCTGCCCTTCTTCCTTTCTCCCCCATTCCTCTTCCCACACACACAAACCTCACCATATGGGTATATCTAATGCTGGAATAATATGCATTTAAATGTGTGTTAGTGAAAGTGTGTGTGTTGGAAACTTACAGAAATGCTGGCATATTTGCATTAAACAGTGTGTCCATACTGCTGTGGGCTACATGAAATAGTTGCCATTTAAAGTTACCAGCATGCTCTGAGAGGGTTTGCAGTTGATGTATGACTCTATGTACAACCACATGCCTGTGCTGAACAAATGTGGACCCCTGCATGTGTGAGTGTGTGTTTACATGTGTGTGCAGCAGATGTCCTGTGTTCTGTTCTGTTCCCCAGACTGGTTGGTCTTTGTTGCTGCTCCCTCGTGCAGACGGGGCTGGCCACGTGCTTCTCTGTCTGCAAAGACAAGTCACGCCCACCCAGCTTTAATCTGTCAATCGCAGCAGCCAAGCCCCGCCCCTGAGTCTGACAGTGACCGCCCCCGGTGTTGATGACGCTGTTTTACTCACGCATACTTACCATGCTCTCTTTTTCTCTCTTACTCACTCCCCCACATCGGTTTATCTGTCAATGTGCCGCGGACACAGTGTAAAGTTGAGCAACACACTTTCTGCTGTTTATCTTTTGTTTTGTCTAGCTTTCTCTATTGCTCTCTTTGTGATAAGAGCCGAAATGTCCTTCCTGAAAGTGTTTCTGTCTTCCTTTACTTCCATACTTGGAAACAAATTCAGTTCTCTGCAGAAACAGGAAGAAGGAATTTGGTGGAGAAGGAAAGAAGGGAGGGAGATCTGGGCAAGGGCTAGCTTTTGAAGAAAAGGCACGTGGCCTGGGGATGGGATAATGTTTCAGTAATTACCTATGTTTATTATTTTCCCCCTTTTATGGATGTTTTGATAGCTTTGTAAAAAAAAAAACAGGCCAAAATCCCAGGAGCATATTCAAAGTGGTGTGCTTTTGAAGTATCTCTGAAACTGAAAAACGAGTCAAACCTTCTGTCGAAAACCAATAAATTGTTTGTAGACATAGTTCCAGGTAAACACCCTGTATCACATAGAGGCTTCACATGATACTGTCTGCTTTAGATGTTTATAATGACTAGTCTCTGTATGCAGTGCTTGTCTCATATTGAATCCCTTTGGCAGAAATGTGACTGTGACCTGAGGCACACCTGATTAACCTGTACTCCCCTCTCAGCTCCCCTCCCTCTCTGACAAAAACAACCAGGTTTAACCCTCGGGGGGCAAAACTCCCTGCTGCTTTACATTTAGTGTCAACAGTTGTGCAGCTGAGGAGACTTTATTGCTTTACAAAGTTCACATGGGTTGTTCGTTATCGGCAGAGAAAGGTTCAGGATCTCTACAGACGGTTTTTGAAGGTCACAATACTCTGAAGTGAGTTAAAGCAGCAAAATAGGACTTTAAGATGTATCACGTATCCTTCTAGTTCCCTTCATATGATCAAACTTCCACATCTGTGTCTATTTGTTTTTTAACCTTGAAGCATTTTATAAAGAATGTATATATGGTTTGTAAACACAGGCGTCCACTGACATGGTCCTGTTTTTGCTGCCTCTCTCACCTGCAGCACTGGAGCAAAGGGGATTTGTGACAAACAACTCATCTGTTACAGAGTTTGTTTGACACATACTGAACATGCAGGCCATTTTTGAACCCTGTCATCATGCCATCTGTGAAAAGCCTTCAGGGTGATCGCGGCTTCACTGAACATAATAGCACACGCACACAAACAAATTGTTTGCACAGAAACACACTCTCATCACCTCCTGCTCAAAAATAAACAGAAGAACACAAGGTAACAAAGAGTAAAGACAAAGACACCGACATGATGAACTGTAGATAACATTTTATCGCCTTTTTACTCATCATAAAGACAGCTGCTAACTACCATTACACATATATTGTCTTCTGTAGGCCTATGTCATACATAGATTATGTTTCCGAAACTCCACTGTTTTTCATGGACCTTCAATGATTCTGTTATAGGCCTATACAAACCAAAGAAACCCAGGTTTTATTAGATAAAATACAACCGCATACTCTGCTTGAAATAGTTTGACTTAAGTGTGTATTCATACTGCATGTTAAAACTGCTATAGAGCTTTAGGGACTTTGTTTTTTTTAAATGACTACTGATATGTGTAACACTGTGAGCAACTTAAACAACGTTTCTCCTCCACATTTTGGTAGTTAAGGCAGAAATCTCAGAGACCTGGACAAAATTAGCAAAAGCTAAATATCGCAGGAGGTAATTTGTATTGTTCTATATATTCTCACGGAACAACCCTTTAAATAAAATAAAAAAAACATGTTAAGCTTCCCATTTTACCAATTTTAGTTTAAAAGAAAGATAGTATAAATCCACAACATCCATTAAGCCTTGTGTGGCTTCTATGTGAAGTCTGTAGGTTATTATTCCCCAGGCTAACATCACAGCTGTAGGCTACCGCAGCGTTTTACAGTCAGATGTATCTTACAGTGTGTTTTGATGACTCTCTGCTCATGTGGCCTTGTTGACCTCCCTCACCTCTCCGCTCAGAGTTCCGCTTAAAGCTGCAGCTAACTTTAGCAAGAGGAACCTGATTCTGCTAACAGGCCAACCCTCCCTGCCCCCATATCTCACAGCAGTCGATGAACATCCACACAAACATGTTAACATGCAGTCTGTGATGCTCGGGGCTTTCTCCACACGTGAACTAACCCCTCAAACATACATGCAGGAGAACACAAGGCAGTTGAAGATAGAAAAAAAATCATCTTTCGGGAGGCATAGATGTCTCTTCCTATACTTTCCAGTGCAGAGCAACATCGCCCTCTGTAGGTGAAAAGAATTTGAACTCACCTCTGCCCCCAAAGTATCCTCTTGCCATGGTTATCATCAGTGTACCTCTCAAAGTAGTGAGATATGTAGCCCCCCTGTCTTTGAACTTTGACAGATTCTGACAGTAGACTTGAGGTCTTCGGACTCTTTGGAAAAATTTACATATTTAATCTTAAATTTCCTTTCTTTTTCTTCGTTATTTGATTTGATGTTGAAGCACCTTTGTGACTTTGTCCATGAAAGGTGCTCCCCTGTTTCTATTCCATTTTCTCAAGTTTTGTACCTATGTACATTTTTGAAAAGACCTTTCATTGTACATCATGCTCATAATTTTAACGACATAAAAAAGCTGATATCTAAGTTTGTTCTGTACACTTTTCATTTCTTACAAATACATTTATTAAATTGTATTACATATTATATCACATATTGTCTCCTGTCAAACAAAGTGATAGAATTACAATTGTAATTTTTTTTTTTTTTTAAAGATTTATTTTTGGGCTTTTTGTGCCTTTAATGAAGAGATAGGACAGTGGATAGAGAGGAAATATGGGAGACAATATAGGGAATGACATGCGGGAAAGGAACCACAGGCTGGATTTGAACCCGGGCGGCCCGCTTGGAAGACTATAGCCTCCATACATGGGGCGCACACACTAACCACTGCGCCACCAGCACATTATAATTGTAATTTTATGAATTTATTTTTACCAGTGCCAAAACAGACCAAGTGAGAAGTACATTGCATACCTAACCCTTATACTTATACCTATCTTAATACAACAAAACAAATAAATGTAATAGTTTTCTATGTGGGGATATTTTTTGTGCTCCTAGTGAGTCTCCTTAATGTGACGGTAATTTCCACCACAAATTTATGCATCCATGAATTCATTAAGATGACTCAGATGGTTAGAAATATTTCAGCAACTCACCCAGACACGCAAGACTGAAACAAAATCTGTGACCCACTTTACCAGCCAGGATCCAAACCCCTTTGTGAAATGTCAGACTTGGCCTTCAGTTTAATTTAGAGAAAAACACAGCAATATAGCTATAATTTCAGAGCCCAGTGCACTGATAGAATATATATTTTTCACAAACCTGTAAGACACATAATCAAAGACAAAAGTAGTTCATTTAAAGACAGGAATAAAGAAAGATGAAGAAGTGCGTTAAGAGAAACCTTTAGAAGTTACTGATATGTCCGTCTGTACAAAATCTATAATCTGTGTTTAAACTGATAAAACAGAATACAACTGAAGAAGTAATATCAAACATACATTCAGATACATGAAGTGTGCAGGATTTTTAATGTCTACGATGAACACACACACACACACACACACACACACACACACACACACACACACACACACACACACACACAAACACACACACACCTGCATAAAGGCAGTCATAACTGTTTTGAATAATTGATCACTAGTGAAATTGTGTGGCTCTAGGGTTTCCATGGTGTCATTGTTCCTGTTTCGGGTCGATTGGTTGCGAGGAAAATGTGAACTTCTCATGCGGGCTACTCATCATTTACATGCCCTTCAATAACACACACACATGCACACACAAACATACACACACACACACACACACACACACACACACACACACACACACACACACACACACACACACACACACACACACACACACACACAGACACACGCCTATTTCCCATGGCAGTGTGGATAACCTGTGTCCTTCCCTATGAGGATGCAGAAGAGGAGAGACTTTCTGAAACTCTGCAACTTTATTTACGCGCAGTCTACTGAAAGCTGGGGAGAATTTTTTTTAGGAGGACGCAGGATCACGAGAATGTCTCGGAGCAGTCTCATCACCTCTGAGAACGACAGTAAGAATATTTTCATGGCTAAATTGCTCTGTAAATTTTAACATTTGATGACTCTATTTTTATGTGCAGTAAATTCAATTACAATTAGTTATATATATTAGGAGAATTATTGTTAGTCATATGAAGAAAGTTCCCTTAAGTCTTCTGGTTTCTGGTGTGTCATGATAAAGTTGGCAGCAGATTCAAATTTTTACAGACACATCATTTTTTTTATTAAACATTCAGTAAAATTAAGGAACAGAAAAGTAAAAAGTGCACCAATTAATTCTGGATTTCTAGTTTGAATCATCCATTAAAAGACCACCAACAAACTACCCTAAACAAACACATTTATCTACCTTAACTTTGCATCCTCATCACTCAGTAGCATATTTGGGATCTGGCCTCTGGCCTCTGGCTGTCTGTGTCCTTGTGAGCTCAGCCTTATCCCTTCATTAGGCCTTTGTTTGTCTCCTTTGTGCCCCTCTGCTGCACATGACCGTAATGACCCATGTGCTGGCCACTCCGGTTACATTAAGGACACACATCAAAGGGTGGACTACATAAATATCGGTTCAATTTGTCAGTGGTCCCCTTTGTTTCACTCTTTACTGCAGGACAATAGTGCCAGGTACACAAAGAGGAAGGCCTGGGCTCTATCAGTGAAAAGGGTCAGTGTTTTATTGAAGCTATAAAAGAAATGGACTGGATTTATAAAGCCGAGGTCATCAGAGGAGAAGGGTATTTGTTATCTTATAGACAGACAACACTTTAACTAATCACACACGATAAACATAGAAAAAACATAATCAATAACCTTATCATTTCTAATTCAAACAACATCACACGGTGAGCTGGGCTTCAGTAAAATGGAATGTGACTGGTGAGGAGAGACAGAGACTGAGACTTATCTTTGTCATGAAAATGAAAACAATGCAAACCGTCAAGAAAATAGATTTGCACATCCGTCACTCCCTCAGAGATACTTCAGTGAGAGAGAGATATCAAATCCAACTCTACTCTTTTTTGATTTGATTGCCTGCAATCATGCTGACAGGTTTTAAAGCATTGTCAAACAATGTCTCATAATCCCCAATCGTTAGCGCGACAGTGTATCAGATATCAAATTGAAAGATTTATAAATGTTGATCTGATGAACGGGGGAGTAATTTGAACTTGGTGTGAATAAAAAAAAAAGAAATGGCAAAATTTAACAATCTGAAATAAAAAGTTTTCATAGATATAAAACAGATGAAAATGTTCAGTTTGATAACCTTTTTTAAGATTTGTATTTTTTAAACTTTGGCCATTTGTACAGATACATTTTTTCTCTCCCACAGTTGACATAGGACTGGAATTAACAGGTGAGTATCTAACTAATACATGAATCACTACAGGTTCTTTTGTTCAGGCAACAACTACTTATTATGTGATGTGGAAGAATTTAAAACTTAAATATCAGAATCGCAGATTGTTGAACTCTTAAATATATTTTGTGTGTGTTCCTAGGGTATGTAGGGGTAGTCAACAATACACATCTATCCCTTAAGCTCCCCCAGTTCCATCTCCTATAGCCAGTATAAAACCTACAAGCCATTTCCCCTTCTTTCATGAAATGCTTTCCTACATTCTAATTAGATCTTGATAAAAAAATATCTGTTATATCCGTTGAGAAATATAATATGGTTTGCATACTCAGAAATAATTACTCAACTCAGAGAAACAAAGCTGGACCACTAATGCAACGATTTGAATTTGATGTGTATTGCAGCATCAAAATAATAGAACATGCTAAACCTTACAGGGGACGAGGATGATGTTTCCACTTTGCAAGAGGGACAGGAGAGAAAAAGACACAGAGGAAGAAGAAAGGCTGGTGAAAGAGAGAAGAAGAAGAGACCACGAAGGAACAGAGAAGCATCTGCAGCAGGAGAGGCCAAAGAGGAGGAATCACAGGCCCAGCCTCAAAAAGGAAAGAGGGGCAGGAGAAGGAGAGAAAGGACTGAAGCAGAAGAAGCAGAAGGTAACCAGAGGGGTGAGGAGAAGCATGCTAAAATAAAAAGTGGTAAGGCAGAAAAAACGAGGAAGAATGTAAGAAATGAGAAAACACAAAAAAAAGATCAGGAGGAGGAGGAGGAGGAGAAGGAGGAGGAAGCTGGTGGTAGAAATTCCAAGAGAAAAAAGAGACGTGCAAGCGGCAAAGAAGAAGAGAAGGAAGAGGTTGAAAGTAAACATAAAGTTAAGGAGCAGACACAAGAAGTAAAGGAGAAGAAGAAGAAGAAGAAGAAGAAGAAGAAGAAGAAGAAACACAAGAAAGTTGAAACAAGGTGAAGTTTCATCCTAAAAATCTCTCCTGCTGGCGTAATCTGTGTAGTCTTCTCATTCTGTCAGATCTTCTGTGGGTCTTTGCTGCTATTGTTTCATGCACAAACACATTAAACACTGCACTATTTCTCAGTTCAGAGCAGGACACAAGCGAGGAAGAAGACAAAGATGAAGCGGACAACGAGGAGATAGGGGTGAGGCCAGAGTCTCTGACAGCGGAGGAGCTGGAGAAACTGAAGGAGGCGGTGGACGAGAGGAAGAAACTGATCCAGGGACTGAGGGGGAAACCGTGGCCCATGAAGAAGAAACTTGTGACTTTACGGTAAATCTATATTGATATGCACTCGCAAGGATAATCTGCAGTACATCAAGAGACCGTTGTTTCAATTCATATCAATTCATTGTCTTTCTCTTAGGGAGTCTCAGGAGTTTGTGGAGAAATATGAAGGAGCTTTGGGAAAAGGAAAAGGAAGGAAACTCTATGCTTACAAGGTCATGATGAACAAGGTTAGGAATCACAATCTGATTTAACATCTGTATTAGAAGAATTTGAACAATTCTGGACCTATTATATGATGCAGTTTATTTGATCAAGTTTCTTTTGCAGAAATGGATGAAGTTCCAACGAGACTTTGAGAACTTCAAAACTGCCTGCATACCGTGGGAGATGAAAATCAAGGAGATTGAAAGTAAATGTTGACATTTACTGTTCAGAGATATTTTGCACATTGTCTTAAGTATCCTTGACTTCATTTTTAGGAGATAAGAATTATGTCGCTCTTACTGTACGTCTAGCTCCAACTGGTCTGATCTCTCATAGTTATTGCAGGTGTACCATTTCTTCTTTTGCTTCTGCCTGCAGGTCACTTTGGCTCCTCGGTTGCGTCTTATTTCCTCTTCCTGAGGTGGATGTATGGCATCAACATGATCTTGTTTGGTCTGACCTTTGGCCTTGTTATGGTGCCAGAGGTACAGTACATGACTTTTATTTATCGGAAACAAGTCATAACTTCTTTGTATTGTATCTGTATGTAATTACCTTCTCTGCCCGCCCCCCCCCCCCCCCCCCCCTTTGCTTGCTGACAGGCACTGATGGGCCGGCCGTATGGCAGCATCCCAAGAAAGACTGTCCCCAGGGCAGAAGAGGCCAGTGCCATGGACTTTGCTGTCTTATGGGACTTTGGAGTCAGTTCATTTAATCACACTTACCTCAGGCTCTTTAACTATCATTCTGTTGTATTATTGTAGTGATATATTCAAAATATTTTGAAAACTTCCTTGTTGAAGATCACCTAAACTGATGTTTCTGTATGAACAGGGTTATGCTCAGTATTCAGTCCTTTTCTATGGTTACTATAACAACCAGCGTGCCATTGGCTGGCTCAAGTTCCGTATGCCTCTATCGTACTTCCTGGTTGGTGTGGGAACAGTGGCCTACAGCTACATGGTGGTCATAAGAACGTATGTTGATTATGACTACGTACAATGAATATGTCTCTCTCTTTCAGGGACAGTTATATACTGAATCTGTATTTCTGTTTAAAGGATGGCCCGTAATGCTAACGACTCAGGGGTTGGTGACGATAACAGCTTTAATTTCAGCTGGAAAATGTTCACAAGTTGGGACTACCTGATTGGAAACCCTGAAACTGCAGATAATAAGTTTGCCTCCATTACCACAAGTTTCAAGGTCTGACAACCGACTGTTTGTGAACCAGTGTAGCATTTGATCCTATTACCAGGATATCACATGTACCTTTATCATGTATATTCTGCATATACCTCTACAGGAAGCAATCTTAGAGGAGCAAGAGAGCAGAAAGGACGACAACATCCACCTGACTCGTTTTCTTCGTGTACTGGCAAACTTCCTGGTCTTGTGCTGTTTAGCAGGAAGTGGATACCTCATCTACTTTGTTGTCCGGCGCTCCCAGAAGTTTGCCCTTGATGGACTGGATACTCACAGCTGGTGGGAGAGGAATGAGGTAGCAATTAGTTATGAGTCACAGAGTATCAAAGAGGAAGTGTATGAATCAGTTTAGTAGTGGACAAGACTTACAGAAGAAGTTCACAATAGAGTGGCGTGGTTATCATCATTTGAAGAATTTAGCCAATGGATGATTGACTTGAAACATTGTCATTAGAGGGAACTTTGAGTTGTTTTGGTTCCTTACTGTCACTCTGCATGCTCAAACACTGTGTTGGCTTGTTAGGATGGCAAAGTGGAATATTGTCAATGTCCATAGATAGAGCAGAACTCATGGCTTACCTGGTCGAAGCACATGCCCCATGTATACAAAATCAGTCCACACCTCAAAACCCCCCAAAATTAACATCAGATTGAAAAAAAACAATTGCATAGCTACACCATAGTTTTTCCTCCTAGTTTCTGTCACTAGATGAGTCTCAAAAGCTGTTTTAATTCCATATACAATTATTTTATATTATTGTGTATCAGCCCCTCTCCTTATCTTTGTGGATTACTTTGTGGAAGACCGGTGCAACACAAAATCAAAAACAAATGTTTTGTACATTTTGAGTGTTTGTGTTAACTCTATTCTAGTCACTTTTCAGTAGAAAACATTATACTCATCAAGATATACCCTCAAGAATGATGTACATGCACACTTTACGTCACCATACAAAGAAACAGACACGATTTGACAGTCAGTCCAACTTTGACAAAAAGCTATCCTCATTTAATGCAGGTCTTCAGTCATCTCACATGTCATTGGAGCTTACATCCGTGCATTGTATGTTCCTCAGGTTAACATGGTGATGTCATTACTGGGGATGTTCTGCCCCATGTTGTTTGACGTCATCAGCACCCTAGAAAACTACCACCCTCGGGTGGCCCTGCAGTGGCAGCTGGGTCGCATCTTTGCTCTCTTCTTAGGGAATCTTTACACCTTCATCATCGCACTCATGGACGAGATCAACCTCAAAGTGAGAGCCAGAGCATGCAGATGAGTGAGATACTTTTGAGTTTACCTGATGCCTAATTTGTGGTGTGTATTTTTTGCAGAGGGAGGAGGAAAAGATAGTGAAATTTAATATAACCATGTGGGAAGCCAGTCTTTACAATGGTACAGTGTCAGAAAATAGTACAGCGTTGCCCATCACTATCCAGCCTGCTGATGTTCCCAGAGGGCCGTGCTGGGAGACCATGGTGGGACAGGTTAGTGTGCATGTATGTGTTTTGTGTGTATTACTATTGTGTATAGGATGATATAACATAACGCACAGACATTATGAAATATAATTGAATAGAAACAGAATATTTTATTGAACTATGCAGGATATTGGATTATGTTTTGATTAATTAAATAAAGTTTTTAGTTCACAAGTCCCTCTAAACTCCAGGAGGTTGCTTAGAGTATCTTAGTTTTTAGAGAGAGCCACAGAAGGTGAAGGGTTTAGTTGTTCATATCATATATTGAAATATATGCTAATAAACGCTAAATATACTAAATATACGCTAATAAACTTTTATGAGTGAAATTAAATATCATGCTAGTGACCAATCTGGATCATTGATTTTAATTCATTGCAAATAGCAGCAAGGAAGAGTACAATCAGATTGACAAAAACATTTTTGATGAATTGAAGACCAAACATGCAGCACTGCCAAGGGCACTACTGTTCTCATGGCAAAAGTCCACTACTGTCTTATCTGAACAAGGAGCTGACTCAGTCAGATAGAAACAGATTTTTCTGATGTGTGAAGCATTAGAGCAAAGTGACAAGACAGAGTGACAGATGTAACATGAAAGTTGTTTGGTCTTTAGTCACTATCTATGACTTGATCTCTTTTTCAAGCAGGGTTTTGTTGGGTGTCATGCAGGGCTGCACCACATACAAACATTCTGATGCATGCAGGTAGTGGCTGGGATCAACTCGAGGCTCAGATAAATTGTGCCCAAGGTTTTTCCACCATTAGTTTGAGAAAAAGCTGAGTCTGTGCTGAGAGAATCTGGTTGTCTTGCATGAAGAACATGAATAGGGGTATCATCAGCATAGCATTGTTTGAGAAGCCACAGTAGCAGGGAATCAGAACAAAGGAGATTATAGAGAAGAGAATGGAAACAATCATGGATCCTTGTTTTACACCGGTGATAAAAGACTCCTGGACATGAATGGTCGCTCTGTGAGGATCGACTCAAGCAAGAGTCCCGCTGTTACAGAGATGTCTACTTCAGATACGGTAGGGTGGACAGGAGGATTTGATTGTTAACCATGTATGGACTATATATTCTTCTTCTTACCTCAGGTTTTCATCAGAAACAGCAGTGCAGTGTCTAATTTTACAGACTGGATTGGATCAAGTAGCCTAGATTATTTTGAAGAGACTGCTTTGGACTGGCTGAAAAAATAGTATTTATCATGTGCATCATCAAAGATATTGTAATTGCGATGGCTTGAAGAGGTTAGGGTAGATGCACTGTGGGTGATTCAGGTGCTCTCGTCGATGGCCTTTATCTTTTTTATTAAAGCGTAACTTTGAAAAACTTAGCTGATAAAGAATGCAAAGGGAACAGAGGACTTTTAAAGTAGGGAAACCATTTCTTTATGTCTGTATCTTGTTATTCTAAAATGCACTTTTTGCAGCAGTTAAACTTGAGGTAAACAACATAGAAAAATTGTTTATGAATGCAAAATTGTCTTTTATTAAAGCAGTTTATATAACACAACCCATTTTCCTCCTGTGACAATCTTACCACTAAATCTTTCTCAATGAACACAAACATGGCAGAGACAGCCTATTAATGACTAACATGGACATGCATGTTAAAAATGTGTTGACTTAGGGATAAAATGTTAAGTAACAAAATGTGAATTCTGCAAGGTGATGATTATAAATGATTACTTTATGCTTTGCAGGAGTTTGTCAGACTGATCATATCTGATACCATGACAACCTACATCACGCTGTTGATTGGGGATTTTCTGAGAGCCGTGCTTGTTCGTTTCCTAAACTACTGCTGGTGTTGGGACCTTGAGGCCGGATTTGTGAGTCATCTGTTCCTACTGATTACATTTACCGTTCTGCTGAGATTTCAAGTGCGTAAATTATGTTTTTATTGCATATTAGAATTCTGCATCTTTCTCTAGAGTGGAATTTAAATGTTGCTTCTGAAAAAAGGAGTCACAGCAGAGTCATTTTTGTCTTTTATGAAGCCATCTTACTCTGAGTTTGATGTCAGTGGTAATGTTCTGGGCCTAATCTTCAATCAAGGAATGATATGGTAGGAAAAAATACTTTTGTTTTTCAATATATAAGTTGAAAAACACATGTTAAGCGTGCTGTAAATTTACAAGTTTTCATTAACCATCTTCTGTAGCTTATATGTTTGATGGGAAACCATATATAATGATGAAAAGCACCTGTATTGTGTGTTCCCTTAACAGACTTTTTGTTTAACATTTTCATGCAGGATGGGAGCTTTCTACGCCCCCTGCCTGCCTGCCCTGAACGTCCTTCGCCTCCACGTGTCCATGTACCTACAGTGCTGGGCTGTCATGTGCTGTAATGTGCCGCAGGAAAGAGTCTTCAAGGCCTCTGGCTCCAACAACTTCTACATGGCCATGCTCCTGGTCATCCTCTTCCTGTCCACACTGCCTGCCATCTACACCATCGTCACCATCCCCCCATCCTTTGATTGTGGACCTTTCAGGTAACAATGCCTGTTCAAAAGTATGATTATTATTATTATTATTCATATAACTTGAGTGGGATCATTCCTCTCTTGTCCTTAGTGGGAAAAAGCGTATGTTTGATGTGATCCAAGAGACCCTTGAGTCGGACTTCCCTGCGTGGTTTAGCAAAGTGTTCAGCTACGCCTCTAACCCTGGACTGGTGCTGCCCTTTATGTTGCTGATGGTGTAAGTAACATTGAGCGTCACACTGCAACAATATGCACTTTATGCACAACTCAGGATATTTTGCATAAAAAACAAAAACAATTTCCTTTTAGTGGAAAAAATAAAATGAAGAAATTACTTTGTTCTTGTATTTTTCAGATTGGCCATTTATTACTTGCAATCCACATCCAAAAGCTACAAAGAAGCTAATGTGGAACTGAAGAAAAAACTACAAACGGTAACTCAAAATCAGATTGCAGTTTTTCCTGTTCTCCTGAGCCCATTAACAACCACTTTAATTGCTTTGTTGGAAAAAAATAATGAATCATTTTCACATATATAACACTCAGAGTCAAGTACTCTCAAAACTGAGGAGGTTTCAAATATGTGTCCTCCATATTTGAATACCTTTAAGCTACTTTGAAACTCCCCAACATTGTATAGTTTTACAAATAGACTGACTGGCCATTCCAGTGCCTGTCTGTAGCTACAGTATAGTTGTATTTGTATCATGATTCCAGCAGAGAGCAGCAGAGTAACATCTCATATTCATCCAAAAGCAGTGGGTCGGTGATGAACAGGTCATCTGTGTTGTTGGTTAAAAGCAGATGATAAATAAAAGGAAATGTGGCAATGATGTGCATCCCAATATGCCTACACAAAAAATTAAAATGTATTTGTTAATTTCTCAGCTTGGAAATTGTGCTCTGTGTGGATGGAACAGTTTTTTACAATCAGTTCTATATTTTTCTTCCGTGTATACTTGTGTATAGCAAAATGAGGAGAACAAGAAGAAGAACAAACGAGCAGCATTGAAAGCACAGATGGATCTAGAGGAGGCCAAAAAAGCCACATCACACGGTGATGGTCCAGAGCATCAAAAGAACAACAATGCCTCACTAAAAGACCAGGAAGGTGAGACTTCTTAAAGTCAACATTCAATTAGATATAAAGAATGATGTTAGACAAACATAATCTTTATACTAATTTAAAAGATAAGATTAGATTTAAAATACTTATTTACTTAATTTTTTTTGTCTTAGTTGTGAGTTACAAAGAACAATTGTCATTTTTGTGAACATATAGGGATGCTTAGCCACAAAGTAATTGCTCCAGTAGACTTTCACAGATTGAATACCTTAAGATTTATTTATTTTATCTAATGTGTCTTGGCTCATACCAACAATGAATCAATTATCTATCTAGCCTAGCGTTAGCTGTCTAACTTTTCCCAATGCTTCTGCTAACAAAAACATCTATTTAACGAACCGATATAAGAGGCAAAGAGCTCTCAGGCCGGTTCAGTCCACAGCAGAACATATTCTTGTGTTGGTATGAAGCAGACACTTGTGGAAATTCAGTAACTCTTGTGCTAGTGTTTGCATTTTTGCCATTTCTCCTCTACTCTGCTAATCCACTGCACTCAGCCTAAAGAAGCCCTATTCGTCAACAGAGCTGTCGATCATAGCCTTTTATAGACTAACTTAACTGATAACAAAAACCCTACCCAAAATAAAAAAATTGACTTGAAAATCTGTTAATGTGCTTTTTGAGCCATTCTGAAGCCAGTCAGTAGGGGGAGCTCTAACATTGAACAATCAATGTTTAAATTCTTTACACATAAAACATTCTGCACATATCCCCTAACCTATGCCCCTGACAGACAAATTGCTTCCTTTTAAATGCCAATACATGGATCTGGGGGTGGAGCGTCTGAGGACGCACCAAAGTGAGGGGTATACTTGCCTGGCTGTTGGGTTGAATTATCTACAAACTTTCTCGAATATGACATTCCAAACTTTAATATAGTGATGCTACAAAAATATCTATGCTAAATTGTTTTGCCCTATCGACATCAATGATTAATAATCAGGTTTTCTCCTCTAGCAGACTGGGAAGACAACCAGGGAAATGGTCCGAGACTGTATCGTGGTAGGAATGAACGCAACCCTTCTGCTCTCCGAATTAAAGAATGTCATCTCCCAGCTACCAATGCTCCTGTGCCCAGGTCACATCACCATGGCAGCCATGGCGCTCCTGGGTACCTGCCCGGTCTGCCTCTGCAAAGTGAACCCAGGATGTACCGGGTGCCGAGCATGCAGAGACACTGAGGGAGTGAAAAACAGAATATGCAGACATCACTTAAAATCAAGCACTTTATTGAGAAGTTCATACTAGGATGCTCACTGTGAACTCAGAGGATTGACAAGGCTGATTTGATTGCAGTTAGTCCACATTGTATCCAAAATCAAGTGTAATTATAAAATTGTGTTTCCATGTAAAAGAACTCTGAATGTTTTCAATGGTAGTTGTTAAATCTGCTTATTAAATAAAGCTTAAACAAAAGCAAAATATTGCTGTCTTTAAAAGTGAACATTTCAGTTCTTATGCCTCAGTGTCTTTTGAATCTGTAAATTAAATTTGAAGCTTAAATTGGAAAATATTTTTCCATATTGATTAAGCTAACACTTCTTATTCAGAGCATAAAACAAACAAATACAATATTTGTTATCAATGGTGACAGAGTTCTACATCTTCTGCTTGACCTTATTTTTAACACCAGAACAGCTAATTAGTCCAACTAAATTATTAAAGGGACATTTTTAAAACAGCTGATTTCAACTTAGTTGTGTTTTATGAAAACTGTATTTCTTTATTCATGATGAATATACATTTAATTTGTTTAAAAAAATGATGTGACATGCTTTGTAACTGTTACAATCCTTAGTTGATCCCTTACTTCTTTTAGTTCAGCCACATTCAAAACTAAAATAACCACATTGACATATACAGTATTCTGTAGGCCTTTTACTCTGAATCACAGAGCAGTTGTCCTTAGACCTATGACACGGCCAAAGTATAAAACATTTATTTGACATGGAGGCCATTTAACATAGCCAGGTTTAAACAGATCTGTGTCCTGACTTGCAAACCCAACTTAACCCTTCTTTTTCAAGAGTAAAACATCTATGACACACTGAGTGACCTCTGAGCTTTGAAAATATTTATTTGCTGGATGGTTATGACAAAATGCTATGCGCCAAAAGGTCATACTTGAGCTTCAGTCAAAATCCATGTATTAGTCTCCTGACCTTCATTCTTGGATTCTTGTCTCGTATCATCTGATAGCCAGACTGGCATATCAAGTCTACTTATAACTAATTCTGCTTTGCACTTGATGAACACATTGACAATCCTATAAGTCAGCCTGCCATGTAGCTGTCAGTCAAATCTGAAAGTGACAGTGTTGCCTGATTAGCGAAACTTAATTTTCATGAAATTCTATAGCTTCATAGTCATTCAGAGTCTTGATTAAATGAAATTGAATATGCATGCTAAGGGTTGTAGGTGTTGTATCTAAATCATTTAAGACAACAAGTGAATAAGCTCATAATGCCGCTGACATCACATCACAGAGCCAATCAAATCCACTTCCATCGATGCTCATGATCAATTCATGGCTGGTACGCATTAAATATTAATTCTGCAGTTATTTGAGAACTAGAGGAAGGAGTTTGTCCCCATGGTTTAATCTTTCATCACAGGCCGCAAATTGTCAATCACATTATTTAATGAATACTGATGAGATGGTAATAATAGGGAGACAAAAGCTTCTATTAGGGACTTGGAGTCAGAAGCTGCCTTGCTCGTATTTATGCAGGTAATCCCACCCTCCTCCTGCCCGCTGTATCACCCTTCTACTGGAGCTGTGTTTTGGCTACATCCCAGTACCCTCCATGATGGTACATTGTGGTAGAAAACTGAGCCATGACAGGTTGCAGATTACCGGATATCTCAATGTTTGCTGCACCATGATACACATCACTTATTGAACAACAGTAATCAAAGAATACAGTCAGATATTGTTGCAATGCTAGCCCTGATTTGACTGTTTGATTGTGTCCCGTTTTATTTTTTATTAAATGCATAAATGTGCTCTAGTAGCCCACAGTAAAGTGAGATAAAATGGTGAAGATAGAGAGGAGTACATCCCACAATATGATGCTAGGCTCAAACATTATGGCTGAGTAACATCAATGCAAAAATATCTGTAAAATAATGTGAATAATAGAGCAAATATTTGATTAGCTATTAGCTAGCATTTGAAAAAAGTTAGCATCATGTTAGCTCAATCAATTCCTTTCTAACATAACTGTTTGATAGTGTTACACGAAACAATAAAAAAAGTTGTTTGTATTTTACCTAAACAATACAGAATAGAATAGCACAATAAATATAAATAAATAATTAAGAAATACATTAAGGCTTTTTGCATAGAGGCTAGGCCATTTTCAGCTAAAATAACACATTTCATGACCAGTGAGCTAGCCTACTAAAACAGTTAAATTACCAAGGAAGTTTTTACATGCTAATGTTAGCTGTTATCTAACAGTCGGCTAGCTCACTGGTCATGAAATATGTTATTTAAGCTGAAAAATGGTCTGATTGATTGCAAGTTTGACATTTTAATGATCTTTTTTAAAACACGTCAACTAAGCCTTGAACGTGTTATCAGAGCAAAAAGGCCGGCATAGTAGGCCTACAGTGAATTGAATGACTGCAGGAAGTTGAGGAGCTGAAATGATCTCGGTGGGGTTAGTTTGCCTTCTAGCTAGAAGCCTTCAGGCCAAAAATCATACATCCCTCACCAGTGTGTTGTTCTCTGTGTTCGCTGTGTAGCAGCTGACGTCTCCTGTTTCCTCCTTTATTATTTAAAAGGTCACATCTGACATTTCAACATAACCACACAGGTATCAGCTACATGTTAGAGGTTGAAACACATAATGTGGAAAGGGACAGGCAACACTGTTCAACCCTTACTCTTAACTTTCACCTTGGCTATAGGCCTACCGTCAGCAATTAAAAACAAAACTAAAGCAGGGATACATATGAAGAGGAAATGTTTTTAGTAGCCTACAAACCTTCCTTGTTATGTTTCCTCAATTAGCCAGAACTACATGCTTAAAATATTGCTAAAGTGTCTTGATTACCTTTTGTTGCCTTCTTCACCAGAAAAGTCTTTATGGCTTTTGTTCCCCCTCATTTATAGTGTCACAAAAGGATGTGTCTTCCTAATGAAAGATGACGATGACCTATAGCATTTTGGATTGAAATGTGAGTTCCCTTAAGAGACAGACCTTAAACATGTTAAACTATCCTGAACAAAATCCATTTGAGGCTGAGTGAGAATGAGAATATCGAAGGAGTAATGCTGTGTGCTATGGTTGAACCTCACTACCACAGAGGACAAGTGGAAAACTTTTAAACACAGTGGCCTGTTTCACTTTTCCCTCAGGGTTACTTAAAGATTCATCTAACTTTGATGGGGCTGACCTTTATGTTTGCTCTGGTGTCTACTTACTGGGTCACAACTGAGTGATGATGAGTAACCATCAGCATTTCCCTTAAGATTATATACTGTATTTTGTTTAATCAAACTTAAGGATTTGGGATCAGTATCAATTATCTTGTTTTTGCCAGTCAAAATCAATTAACTGACAAGCCCATTGTGTGTCCATTTTGTTTTCTCCCCGGCCCCTGATTGTGATCTAATGGACTCTGTGTGTCTTTGCCGGTCGTCAAGGAGCCCAGCTTTTGAATAGAGGCACACCTGTTCCTGCTTGTGTGTGTCAATATGAGACGGTGTGTGTAAGTGTGTGTGTCTTGGTTTTTTTGACACAGGACCTTCACAGATGTGTCAGCCGCTTGTACAGAGTGACTCATGGATGTGGAGGAATTAGAAGTGAGAACACAAACTTAAGACAGAAGAGATCGCCAAAACTAACAGAGACCCAGGAATATGCCTCCAAAGAGGAAGGACAATGTTGTTATTAAAGTGGAAGATGGTAAGATATTTTTTTTTTATGTGAGCAGGCATATTATCTTGTGAAGCTTAAATAACTTTATTATTGTCTATGAATCTGTATAAAATGTAAAAGTCTTTGTTAGCTGGCAAATATATATTATTTGAGATTCAACCCCTTAATTTTGTGTATGGTTTTTTTAATTTTTAATTTTCCCTGTCCACAGTTGGGATGGATGTTGATGCTGTGATAGATAGCGGAAGTGAAGGTGAGTTTTTTTTTTTTATAGAAACAGTTGTTCATTTCCCTTCTGTCAATTTCTTTTACAACTTTTCACCAAATTTCTTCTTTGTGCCATTGATCGGCTTGAAAATATACCAAGAGCAACATTACTGTTGCACTATTGATGTTTTGCAGGATTGATGTTTTAGCTAGTAATATAAAATGTGCATTTGTCACAGAGGAGGCCAGAAGGAGAGCTAAAAACAGAAGAGTCAGACCACAACGTAAAGCAAAACGGGTCAGCGATGATGAGGAGGATGAAGATGAGGAGGATGAAGAACCAAGGAGGAAAGGACGAAAGAAAAAGGCCAAGCCCAGGGACAGTGATGAAGAAGAAGAGGAAGACAGTCGGAGTGTGAAGAGCAAAAGTTCAAGGGCCTCTAGGAGAAAAGCTGCGAAAGAGGAGAGTGAGGAGGAGAGCGAAGACGACCGACAGAAGAAGAAAAAACGAGGGAAAGGAGTTTCCAAACAGGAGAAAGAGGAGCAGAATAAGGAGAAGAAGGGACAAGTTAAGGGGAAAGAAGGGAAGGACAAAGGTGGTGAGAAGGACAGGAAAAAGAAGAGTGGGAAGTTTAGCAGGTGCAGTATTCTCTGAGAGCTTCCTCTCACTTACATGCGCGCTCCACACACCTGTATTCAGTCTAAAGCAGTAACCCTGACAGACTCTGGTGATGAAACATTGAAACAGTTGAAAACAGTTGTATTAATGACATGAATGACATAATAATAATTCCATATTTCCCTACTGCATATACAGTATATTGAATTGTTAATGTAGCATGGTGAACACGTTGAAGTCAGACAGACTTTTAGCTGCTCTCAGTTGGTGTAGGCACATTAGTTTATTCATTATTTACCTCTGGCTTAAAACAAAGGCAACAGAACTAAACATCCACATTTCTGTCCTGTTACAAGACATTGTTTTAACTTTTAGCTAGTAGCAGAAGTCTGATTTCAGTCCATGCACATCCAAAGCATGGCTCCTAAACCTGCAAATTTAAATAATTTCATAAAGTTGCTAACCCTTTTTTATGGCTACAGGCTTTCCCCAGGTTGGCCATTCAAAACAAATGTTAATACATTTGTGTAGGAAGAAATGGTTAGACTTCATATCATACCAACTAGCTCTTCTCTAGCACAACCTTGAATTTTTAGCATTGCTAGTTTCTTTGGAGGTTGCATTATGCATTACAATTACTTGAATTGAAGCTTAGGCATTATGGTCCCATGCTGAAGTTTAACAGCAATAGCTGCATTTTTACTTTTTATGCAATCTCATAGTAACAGGTTAACATGCCAGAATGTGTTAATTAAAACTTAACACAGAGCGAGTACAGAAGAGGCCGAAATAAATTATGAATAATAGTAAGGTGAAAGTATGACATGTCCTTACTTATTTTTAACACCTCAATATGCACCAACATACATTGCTTCACAGCAATAAATGTAGAACTGAAAATTGAGTTTTAATTAGCAAGAAACATGAACCTGACACAATTAAAAACATTAATTTACAAGATTAATCTTATAGTGTCTATTTGTTGGATAGCTCACCACTTATCTGTGAATAGGAAACTAACTGTTGAAGGCCTCAGCATTTGACAGCTCTTTCCCTTTATCAGCTCTTCTTCCTCTGACTCTGACTCTGACGACCAATCGCTGTCCGAAGGTGAGATCGAAGCCCTAAAGGAACAGGTAGAGGAGAAGAAGAAACAGATTGCTACTTTAAGGAACAAACCTTGGCGCATAAAGAGAAGACTCGTAATACTAAAGTAAAAAGAAAAACAGTTGCAATCTTTTAACTCAATCTTTTAACTCTGCCTCCTTTGTGCTCCTTTCCTTTTTTTGTTTTGATGTTTAGTTTATTTTGTCTTTTTGATCCTTTACTATTATTTAGACGTGCTATCCTTGAAGCCTACCATCACTCATGTCATGTACATGTGATGTCGATCTTGCATTATTAAAACTTTTTAAATTTGGCTTTAGATGTTTGGTACTTTTGTTTATAAGTCCTGTGAATTGTGGAAACACAAAGAAGTCAGAGCAGGTTTCTTATAACCCTTAATTGTCAAAATGCAAATCAAGGCTATACCTCTTCTAGGAAACACAACATTTGTAGAACTCAACTCTGCCTTGAATGACATGCAAAAAATGACTCACACACACACACACACACACACACACACACACACACACACACACACATAGCAATTACCTTAAATCCCCACCTGTTAAAAACCTCTGAAAATGATTACATGCCTAAATTCATCAAAGCAATTTCCTATTACGTTTTTTGCTATGACAATTTTTTCAATTTTCCTAAACTCTTAACACACCAACACACGAAAACACACAATTGGCAAAACAGTTAATTTCATGCTCAAAACCACCCATTGTAAACTAGTCAATCACATCACCATGTCATAAAAAACACTAACATCAGATGGAATAATAGAAACTGCATTACTTTACGTGTCAGATCTGCCCTTATACAATAGACAGTATATTGTATTGATCATAGATTGTGTTTAGCACTGCATTTTCTTTTGAAGCCTCTCTAAATTTCTGTTTTGTTGGGTTAAGTAAATGCATGTGTTTTGATTCTTTTGCTGCAGGAAATCAAAACAAAAAAGAATGACCCATATCAGAGTAGCTTTATAAAATACGGTTTATGAGAAGAAGAAGACAGACAGGTAGTATTTCATTGTCAGCAATCACCATGTTGATAATGGCAAGTTCCTGTTCTTCATTTAGGGGCTTTCCTCTGCCCCCTGAGGGAGGTACAGTTACAGTTAGAAATCAGAGGCTTACAGTAACTGTAATACTAGATAAAAATTATTACACTTTGCAGTAGGATAAGTCATTATACAATATCCTACCTGTTGGTTTCTTGAAAAATCTGGATGTGTCCCGTCTAAAATTTGACTGTACTCGTTCACCAGCCATTCTGTATGCTAACCCATGGTTTATGACATGGTCTATGATAGTAGCTCTTATTTCATCAGTTACCGTAGCTCTGGTCCTTCTTTGAGCGCCACCACACATTCTAACTCCTCTCCCTCTACCTTATCCTCGTCCAGGTATTACTCTCCCTTGCTGTTGTCCCACTCCTCTCCCATGTCCTGGTACTCGTCTGCATTTTGACACCCTGGACACTTTACGCGCTGACACTTTACTCATTAGACTGTTTACATTTTCTACATTTAGAATATTTATACTTTTTTCTTTTCTTATCTTACAGTATATTTCTACATTTACTGTATATGTATTACTGTAGTAATTTTTGAGTGTTTATTGTGTGGCCTTGCTTACTGTAACAGTTTTTGTCTGTTGAGCATGTGACAAATCTTGAATCTTCCTCTCCCTTGTCCTGGTACTCGTCTTCCTCTCCCTCTCGAGGCATTGTATTTACTTTCTTTATGTTGCTCTATATTGTTCCTTTTGCACACAAGATCAGCCCAAAGATGTCCTTTTTTACTGTATAACATATGGTCATGCGATTGAAAGAACCTCAACCCCTGAGTGTGTTCCTATGGGAATCAGCTGTGATTTATATTTTTACATAACTTCAATCAGCTGTTTCTCAGTAGCAATGGAAACAAATACAGGGGGTATATATGTGTTTCAATCTCCAATATGAACAGCTAGCCACTTAGACTTTAGCCTATAGGTTAGGTTTAGAACATGATGTTATTTGTTCTGACATACAATATGAAATCATCAGTAAATTTGGCTGTAAAAATCCATTGTTTTGGTCTTGGTTAAGCTTGTGTGTAAAAGAAGTTCAAATTTGTGTTAAATGTATGCATTTTGTGTCTAAGCAACAATAAATGTGTCAGTTGCATAGCCTTCAGAGATGGATGTTGTGCTAACTGTGGTCAGAGTTTAGGAAAATTGTTAGAAGTATTGAAAAAAGTGTCATAGCAATCGAAAAAAACTGTAATGTAAAATTAATATACACAGCAGCACAGACTAGACTGTTTGTAGTTGAGCCTGTTGGAGATGTTCCTCTTTGTGTTACAAGACTGTAAACACATCCGGCTAGCTTGGCAGGGCAAAGGCTAAGTCTACTGTTGGTCAGTGTGTTTGTACTCTGTGAGTATGTTTCTTTAAGCACAGATCATTGTAAGTAATGGAACTGGATAGGTGCACTGCCTTAACTTTTTCATGAGTCTGACACTGTTTCACGCATGTTGTGGCTTATTGACCCACTAGCTGCCAAGTCTTGATACTGTATACAGTGTACCATCAATCAGTAAACTATCCAAATCCTGAAGCTTTAACAATCTGGTACTCCTAACTCATTTGTTAATAGGTCACGCTTTTCAGTGAATTTAATTGGTTGGTGTTTGTGTTACTGTTTTTAGGGAGGCTCAAGATTTTGTTGAGAAATATGAAGGAGCTCTTGGTAAAGGTAAAGGCAAGAGGCTGTATGCATTCAAAGTCATGATGGCCAAGGTAATCTGCTCCAAAATAATTCAAACATTTTCATGAGTTTGACAGTGTTAAAATAACCATTATATGCCTTTTTTTTAAATTTCAGAAATGGATCAAGTTTAAACGTGACTTTGAGAACTTCAAAACAGCCTGTATACCCTGGGAGAGGAAGATAAAGGATGTGGAAAGTTGGTACAACCATATCTGAATAACTGAATGTATAAAATAACATGGTATAGAGTTTCTAAGTGAAGTTGTGTTTTCCTAATTGCAGGTCACTTTGGATCATCTGTGGCGTCCTATTTTATCTTTCTGAGGTGGATGTACGGTCTGAATCTGGTCCTGTTTGGGTTCATGTTTGGCCTGGTGATTGTGCCTGAGGTACAGTCTCCTTCACAGATGATCTTAGCAGGTATAAGCTGATGTAGCTGATACTAAACATGCTTTCCTTCTCTTTTTTTCACCTTCCTCCCTCTCCTCTGTGTTTAGCTCCTTATGGGTCTTCCATACGGCTCCATTCCCAGAAAAATTGTACCTCGAGCTGAGCAGGACACCGCCATGGACTTCTCCGTGCTCTTTGACTTTCGAGTGAGAATTTTAGCTTTATTTATTATTTTTTACTCAAGTTATGTCAAGACTACAGGTGGACAATATTACTAAAACACGAGTAAAAGATAGGCAATGTTAAATACTGATGTTTGATTTTTTTTTTAAGCTATCCTAGCATCACAGATGTAAGGCTTGAACAGTCGGTTGGTTCCATTTATGGTTCCAAGAGGATAAATCTTAATAGCTTTGTTGATCCTCTGACTTTTCTATTCCCCCCCCCATCATCGGTTTAAAATTTCACTGAGACACTGATCAGGAATTACCACGAGCCTCCTCTGCTCTTTGAGTTTTGTGCTAATTAGCAAGCATGTTTGCAAGCTAGACTGAAAAGGGGAAAATGATAACCGGTAATTAGCATACCTTAATAACCTGTTCGTATCTTCATTGTGAGCACATTAGTTATGCTAACATTATCATTTATCTAAGCACTATTGCTACATCAAAGTGATACTGACAATTGTAGAAAACAGAAAAGTTCCATAACTAGAGATACCTATAATGGACAACTGATGTTTCAAACACGAGTCTGTTCTACCAATCTATCGTCTTTCAGGACCATTTTTCAAAACACCCCACTTTACAGCATTAAGAAACATGTTTACTTGATTTCTAGTATCCCCATGACAACTGACTTATTGAAAGCTCAAAGTTATGAATATTCATTGACATAGCAGCTTTGATTGGTGGGGGCCACAAGCTGCCTGCTGGGCCTCATGAGCTAATTTGAGTCCCTGCAGTTCCCCAATTCTCCTAATTTGGTTACCCCATTCTCCAAAATACCAAGACAATGATGGTCAAAGTGACCACTCAAGGCTTCAAAATATTAATTCTCAAAACAACAGGTGACGTTAAGGAGCTGTTGTCTACTTCTTATATACAGTCATGGTGTACATGGTGTATGAGTGTTCATTTATTTTTATTTTGCGTAACTCATCAACAGGGATACTGCAAGTACTCCTTTTTGTTCTATGGCTACTACAACAGTGAACGGACCATTGGGGTGCTGCAGTTCAAACTTCCACTGTCGTACCTGCTGGTGGGAGTTGGCATCTTTGGATACAGCCTGATGGTTGTCATAAGAACGTAAGACAAGACACATACATTTGAGCAATATCATCAATAACACCCAAATAAATATTTTAGTCTCTTTCATAGGGATATTTCTAACAACTAGTTTCCCAGTCAATTAAACGGAAATTTAAATTCTGGCTAGTCGACTACACCAAAGGTGAGAAAACTGTCATATTTCGGTCTTCCTTGCATCCAAATGCCTGTGCTGCAGTGTCGTAGTCAAGTCACCAAACCTCAAGTCTGAAGAAGAATTCTGAGTCCAGTCATAGTCGAATCCCTGTCACCTGAGTCCGCATCCATTCATTAATTAATTTAATTACGTTAAATGCGTTTAGCTGACCCTGAACATTCTGTGTGTCCGGGTTGTAGAGCATTATGGCAGTATGGAGGTATACACTAAGCAGATCCACAGCCCAAACTAGTGGTGGGTTGCTGTGTTACAACTTAGACACAACATTTGACCAACATTGAGGGCCTACATTAACAGAAATATTAAAGGTGCACTATGGAGTTTTGGTGGTTAAATTTGAAAGGTGGAGAAGTGAAACTATTCTATGCTATATTTTCTGAACTATATACACAAACTTTACTTAAAAAAGGGTACCTCGAACAATGTTTAAAGCTTAAAAGCTACCAGGAGCTTAAAAGCTACGGTTCACTGTTGCGGGCCCCCCACCATAACTTATCTTCAAACAGTATTACAGGGACCAAATTTTCCTCTGAGGACAGTTTGTGTATAGAGTTATGAACATATACCACAGAATCTGTACACTTCTCCAACTTTCAAATGTCTCTACCAAAACTACATAGATGCACATTTAAGAATTAATTGAACTGACAAGTAATTGTTGGTGCAGACTAATGAGGGTGACAACATTTAACTGTTTAGTCGCTCACATCCATACCCTGTTATATGGTCTTATCTTTTTCCCTTCTCAGGATGGCTCGTAATTCAAATGAAGGGGGGGATGGGGCAGAGGAGGGAGAGTTCACCTTCAGCTGGAAGATGTTCACCAGCTGGGACTACCTGATAGGAAACCCTGAGACTGCAGACAATAAGTATGCCTCCATTACAACCAGCTTCAAGGTTAGCAGGTGTGTGTTGAACTGTGTGTGAGTGCATTGAACTTAAACTCCTATACATCAGCAATCTTAGATGACCAGGATGTGAAGAATAGCAAAAAAAAAAAAAGTTATATGTTTAAGAGTTTGAAATGACAGGAATAAGAAATTTAGTCCAGGGAAGCAATGTGTGAACACAACAATGTGCAATTTGTCCGTCAAACTGGTTTAATTTTGCCCGTTTGTAGGAATCCATCGTAGATGAACAGGAGAGCCAGAAAGATGAAAACATCCATCTACGCCGGTTCCTTAGGGTTCTGGCAAACTTTTTGATCCTGTGCAGCCTAGGAGGCAGTGGATTTCTCATCTACTTTGTGGTGAAACGTTCTCAGGAGTTTTCTAATATGGAGAACGAAGATCTCTCGTGGTTGGAAAAGAACGAGGCATGTCAAAGCGAAACCTTTTCATTTTTCCTACCCTTGGGCTCACAGTCTTTCATGTTATCCTTTGAAGAGAAAACAAGAACATCTGAAAGTTAGGAGAGATGAGGAAAATGACAGAAAAAAAGTGGGTTTCTAACGCCACCATTCTCCTGCTCGATGTGTCAGGTGGAGTTGGTGATGTCTCTGCTTGGCCTGGTGTGTCCTCCTCTGTTTGAGACAATTGCAGAGCTGGAGGACTATCACCCTCGTGTTGCCCTCAAGTGGCAGCTGGGACGAATCTTTGCCCTCTTCCTGGGAAACCTTTACACCTTCCTCTTCGCCTTGTTTGATGAAGTTACAGCCAAGGTATGACAGAAAAGCCAGTATGTGTTATTCTGTGTCATTTTCTGAATCGTCACCTTTTAAAAGCAAAAGTTTGTACACTGATATGCTTGCAAATGGAGAGTAAGATGAGAAGATCAAGAGATCGCCTCTTTCAACACTGCAGCCAGCAGTCTGTTAGCCTACAGTAGCTTAGCACAAAGACTGGTAAAGGTGAGGCAGCTAATCTGTCTCCTTGCTCAAGCACAATTCAAGATAGCTAGCTATATAATATTCTTTGTTTAATCCATACAAATCATTTGAAAGGACATTACAAAGTGTCTGAACTGATGACTTTATCACTGTTTTATTTGATCTAAAAAGTGCCTTTTTTAGTTTGTACAATATATCTATTTTACATACAAATTTGCAAGTGCTACATTTTGCAGAATCTTTTTCATGTGATGTTAACTAGTTGTTTCCACTCTTGGTGCTAAACTAAACTAAGCTAACAGACACCTGGCTGTATGTCATATTTTCAAGATGGATGTGAAAGTGCTATCGATCTTAGCACAAATTATAGGCATTTCAGAATCAGATGGGAAAATGCGGTTGTTACAGTTGCTATAAACACAATATAGCAGTAGAAATATAGTTGTATACAAATTAAATATTCATAAAATAGAATAGGAATTTAAGATATCAAACAATAAGTACAAGAAATAAGCAATACATACAAAAAGATGCAAAACACTTCATTCATTTCAAGCCTAAAAACTATATCATCCCCTAAAGGGTGGCTTAGTGATAGAGTGTTTGTTTCTCAGCCAGACGGTTGGTGGTTTGATCCTCAGCCCCTGCAGTCTACATGCCACAGTGTCATTGGGCAAGCCACTGAACTCAGAGTTGCTCCCAAAGGCATAGTCATAGCTAAATGTGTTTGAATGTGTTTGAAGTCCTGAGAGGCAGTTCTTTATGTTGCACGTTAACTTAGATACATTTGATATTCCTTGTCTTGTCTATGAGTTTTTTTTGGTTTTCCTCAGTTGGAGAGCGAGAAGGCAATCAAGAATGCCACTGAATGGGCTTTAAATCAGTACATTGCCAACTACAGCTCCCACTACAACACTACAAACGTGCCTCCCCAGAATGTTGACCCAGCCGACACCCTCAGAGGACCCTGTTGGGAGACTGCAGTGGGAATAGTCAGTAGTGTCATTTCATAGCCTTATCATAAAGAAGACACACAATTTCAGAGCTCCTTGGCCTGTTTTGTGTTTGTTTTAATCTCTTTTGCTTCTAATGCTGTGTAGGAGTTTGTGAAGCTGATCGTATCGGACATGCAGGTGACCTATTTGTCCATCCTGATTGGAGACTTCATACGAGCCGTCCTCGTGCGCTACTTGAACTACTGCTGGTGCTGGGACCTGGAGGCTGGGTTTGTGAGTACTTACAGTGTGTGTGTCAGTGGGTCAATGTGTTTCCTGGGACTTGTGTTTATTGTTCATTTGTTTAAATCATGTAAAAAAATGGAATTAATTATATATATATATATATATATATATATATATATATATATATATATATATTTAAGTGTAACCTCTGTGAATCGGTTGGCACCTGAATCCAACAAAACACTAAGCAAGTTCAATATCCATGTAAGATAAAAAATAAGAGTGACATTTTAGTACAAATAGCTACCATGTCTTTCAGTTATTATTGGACATTGTGTTTGTATAACTCAATTTGTAAAAGAATCCAAGTCAACCTGATACCACACAATGACATCTGGCAAGACAGCTGATATCATCCCTAACATCATCATTTAAACAGGACACCGCAATGGGAACTTAATTACTGAGACAGAGAAGAAGGGCGGACGACAGAAAGAGAGAGAAGCAAACGCAAAGTGTAACAACCTAGTTATTGTTGACTTAATAACCATGTTAAGCATGTTTTTGGGTTTATTTCAGCCTTCATACGGAGAGTTTGACATCAGTGGAAATGTTTTAGGACTGATCTTCAATCAAGGAATGATATGGTGAATGACAACACAAGCTTTTTTTTTTCTTTATTGGATGATTTCTCTAGCTCATTAATCTCCTAATTATCCTGCATTTACTAATAAATATGTAAATTGTTTGACTGTTAATATTGGAGCCACATTGTTGCAAAAGTTACTCAAACTTATTACTTCAAAATACTAAACAGAGACTCATTGGATTTGACTAAATTAATGTTTAAAAGTTGACACAGTATTTTTTTAATAGTGATGCTCACCTTGCTGTTTTTTTCTCAGGATGGGAGCGTTTTATTGTCCAGGTCTGGTGGGTCTGAATGTTTTGCGTCTCCTGGTCTCGATGTACTACCAGTGCTGGGCCGTGATGTGCTGTAACGTTCCTCATGAACGGGTTTTTAAGGCCTCGGGGTCTAACAACTTCTACATGGGCCTGTTGCTGCTTGTGCTGTTCCTCAGCCTGCTCCCTGTTGTCTACACCATCATGACTTTGTCCCCATCCTTTGACTGTGGACCGTTCAGGTCAGTAAGAGAGAGAGGAGACTAAAATGGTAAACTGAATGATGATGAATTATAAAATAATCTCACAAAATTAGATTGTTGGGCTAGTTCATGATGAATTCATCTGCATGTTAAAATATCTCTAATCAGAATATAAACTCAGTCAATCTTTCTCAAACATTATATAGAGTTAATTAATCAAGATGTCCAAATTAGACTGAATAATGCCCCCCTCCTCTCACAACAATATGGCGTTATAGATAGCTTTTAGCATGGTCACTCTGCTAGTGGACATTTTCCGTCACATTTCTATCTTTCCCAGAACAATTGGATGGATTATGATGGAATTGTGTCTGCATAGACAAGTTTCTATATAGGCCCTACTGAAACAAGTAAGTCTAATGCTTTTCCGATCATACTCACTGTCAGTGTGTGTTCATCTAGAACGCTAACAAGCTGAACTGAAGTCATTTTAGAGAAACAAAATACCCCAAAAACTTCTAGAAGCATATTAGCATTTAATGTTTATCTTGTAAGCAAACTCTCATTAGCATTTAGCTAAACTTTGCCGAAGTAAAGAAGGCTATTTAAGACCCTTTACCATGGCTATGTCTTGTCTATGATGCAATTTCACATGTCCATCTCCAGTAGCTTAAGCTATTTTCTATGTAACAGAGCTAGTGGTACTTTTATGTATATTTGTTTTTACATTGTTCATTACAAGTTCAATAGGAATATTTCATGCAGTAGTAGTATGTTTGTTCCATGATACCGTTTTTACTTACCGTACTGTAGCCCTTAGAGACAGTCCTCAAAAGAAAGCTTATATTTGTTGGCTTTACTTCCAAGGTACTGTTTACAAACACAAATGTATTTTAGCAGGACGAACCATATTAATTATTATCTCAAGGTCATTTTGATCTCTGGTCCTTCAGCAGGTTTCTAAAGCACATAAAAATAACGACTACTACTACTAAAAGTCTTATATTACAATTTGTTGGTAACTTATTAACCAAAAATGAATTCCCCTCCTCCAGTGGTCAAGAGAAGATGTATGATGTGGTCATGGAAACTATAGATAAGGATCTACCCTCCTTTATAGGGAACATTTTTGTATATGCAACTAATCCTGGACTCATCATGCCTGCTGTCCTCCTCATGGTGTGAGTATCATTCAATTGTTTAATACTTTTCTACAAATAACAAATTACAAATTACAAATTACAAAGGGCCGTTCAATGTACAGGAGTTGAATGGAAAAGTAATAATGACATCCAAAAACATGATGTGGTCTATCTTGTAAAGTTTGACTACACTAAACAACTGTACAGTTCCATGGTTATTACTACATTTCACATCTTTTATGCATTATGTATACACTAACTGGATTGTGTGCATGATTGTCTTTGTTTGATTACAGTTTCTTTTCAAATATTGTCATGGCATAGTGAGATTGTAAAGGAAAATGTTTCTGTACAAGATGAAATTGGAAGCAATTTCTTGTATGCAAATTGCTTTCTCCCATTGTGTCTCATCTTGTTCTACCACAAGGGGGCACCAGACTCAGACATACTGAAATATAAGAGTCTGATTTGTTCTATTTTGTGTCCTAAATTAGTTTAATTTAAACATTAAGATAATAAAAATACCAGAATCAGTTGTTGAAAGTTTAGTCACAGAACTTGAGGATCTCTTGTTAAGAGTGTTATTTACTGGCTATGGTCTAAGATACTGTCCCGTTTATAGTGGCTCTCACCTTAAAGATTTATAATACTGTATAACAGGTTGGCCATCTACTACCTGAACGCGGTGTCAAAAGGATACCAACAAGCAAACTTGGACCTTAAAAAGAAGATGAAAATGGTTAATAGTGCAAATTATTCTCTCATTATTTTTCAATCTGCTAAATATAATATTTGATAAAACTGAAGACTCTCATGTTTTATTCTTGCACTGTTTAGGCTCGGGATGAGGAGAAGAACCGCAGGAACAACAAGGACAGTACTAATCAAGTAATGAAAGACTTAGAGGACCTGCTCCCAGACAAGTCTCTGATACCTCCTCCAACTGAGGAAGAGCCACCCCCTCCTGGTAAACACACACACTGCACACACCCTTGCATATTCCTTTACTGCATGTGCTATCATACTATTTGCATTCATTTTTCTTACTTTCTGTCTCTTAGATGTTGTGATTGAGAAGGGCAGCAAGTCTCCTAAAATTAAGCCAGGTGCAGCAGGAAAAGGGGTTAAACTACAAAAAGATGTGTCATTGGCTGCCACAAACCCCAGAGCTCCTGTCAACCGTGCCCCGGGGCCACGGAGAGCCCCTCCTGGAAATGCCAGAGGGCCTCAACCTGGACCTGGGAGAGGAAGAGGTCGGGGTGGGCCTCCAAGACAATAAGAGTCATGATTCTTGGACTGAAATCCAACACATAACAACCAGTATCTGCTGACCTCTGAGGTCATATTCCTACTATCTGTGCCACTAGAAAAAAAAACACATTTTATAATTCTGTAAATGAAATTGATTGACAGATTAACGCTTCTCTTTTAGAATAATGATATCCTTACATTTATTTGCCTTTATTATAAGCATTAAAAGCAGTAATTTACACATACCAATTCATAAGGTATTGTTTGCTTCCACGGCTAAACAGGAAGGATTCATCTGAACACGGGATGTAACATTTATCCATGTTTACTTGTGAAGATAGCAACAGATACATTTATTCAACCTGGGGATGCTCTAACTCCAGTGCAGATGTATTCTCCAAGTCCACACCAGAGCAGGTGAGATAGCACCACAACAGTAACTGAACAACTACCCAGAATCAACGGTCACTTGTGTAGTTAAGAAGCAAGGTAACAGTTAACAGAGATTATTTAAACTGAATGATATAATGTGGGAGCCATAATAGTACTGGTACAACAGTATATATATATGCTTAACTGAAAAGGCCCAAAAAGTTCTACAATGAGCTTAGTGAGGAGTTAAAGATGAGTTGGGACATTGAGTAAAGAAGATGGAGTCAGACATCACTGGTTTAACTGTATTCCTAACACAACTACAGAAAATATCAACGAATAAACAAAGACAACAGCTCAGAAGCTTCATGTAATACAGACAAAAGCAGGATCACGTTTACGGCTTTGCAATCAGTTAATGGGTTTCTGTAATAAAAATGGTCAACAATTTAATTGAGTAAGAAAACTCTGTAAATAGAATGATTCATGTATTTTTTTTGTATGACATTGTCCAATTAAAATTATTATTTTTTGCAAAGTGCTATTTAAGTGGTTACCTTTGAACAAAAAGTCTCTCATTACACAACAAACACAGATTCAAAAGGCATGCTTTCCACTTAACAATAAAATGCATCTCAAATAATACATTAGAGGATTATCGATGGATGAGAGTCAATATAGTCAGACTAATATAAAGAAAACAAGACGTTACACAGATGAGAATACAAAAGAAATATGTATATGAGGAGAAACGACAGGAATATATGATCATGGAGTGAAGCGGAACTGATAATGCCTCCAAAATATACTGATGCCTTCTGATTATTTACATTTTCTGAGAATTAGAAGCCATTGGGTAGAAGAGACATCAAAATGCAGAAAAAAAAAAACGTCCTGTGATATGACAGCATTAAGAGTTCTTCTTTGAGACTTTGATGGTGACCGCCTTAACCTCCGTGTACTCCTGAAGAGCGTATTCCCCCCTGAAAACAAAAGGAAAACATGCAATATGTTAAGAAGAAGTGATGCGTTTATGTGTGATGTTTTCCTTCCATAAGTAATAATGAGTTATCAAGAGATGGTGAGGTAGCCTGTAGGCACGAATCAGTGAAAACAAGTCTCTGCAACTCATCTCTTACTATAGATTATTAAATAGTTTATTTTAATTCACATGTATTCCCAACAAAAGCATGCCAGCACTGACAGTGTAGTGAAGGACAGAGCTATTTGTAATAAAATGCAGGACTGCACCTTTTTTTTTTGGAACATTGCCATTAAATTAACAATATAAACAGAATTGACTATTTGCAGGATGATACACTGTAAAATAAGAAATCACATTTATGACCCCTTTCTCTTGTCAAAAGACCTCTGACTCATTGTGTGCCTCCATTTCTGAAAACTAACCTGCACCTCTGAGTGTCAGCCATGAAAAATCTAAAATAATATCTAATGGTATCACTCACAGTTCTCTGCCATTCCCAGACATCTTGAAGCCACCAAAGGGACACTGTGCACTCATGGCATTGTAGCAGTTCACCCTAAAAAAAGGAAATAGAAGGTTCCCCTTAGTCCATAAAATCGCAGGTTGTAATTTTACACAAGATATAACAATGTAGGGGGAAAAAAAAGGAAAATTAGATTATTTATCAAATTTTGTTCTTGAGCTACCACCCCTGGACTGCTACAGCTACTTTTTTGAGTTTGATTCCTACCAGACCATGCCAGCCTGCAGGGCGGAGGAGACTGTGAGGGCTTTGTCAATGTCGTTTGTAAACACTCCTGCTGCCAGGCCGTAGTGTGTGGCGTTCGCCCTCTGGATGACTTCATGGACGCTTCGGAAACACATGATCTGCTGCACTGGACCAAAAATCTAAGAGGGAGGGTAAAGTGTGGACAAGGATGAAAAGGTAACATGAGGAGGAATTTCACAACCAAGTGAGAGATTTAGGACTCAGATGATCATGGGTAAGATCAAGTGGGCTTCTGTCTGTGCAGGTGTTTTAGAACAGGGTACCTCTTCTTTGGCGATACGCATTTCATCTGAGACATTTGAGAAGACAGTGGGTTGGATAAAAAGCCCCTGCTGATCCCATGAGAAGCCCCCACACTCAAGAGTGGCCCCTTCCCTCTTCCCGCTCTCTATCAGCTCCATTATCTTATCAAACTGCTTCTGGTCGATCTGCAGAAATAAAGCAGCTCAAATTATTTTTCTGAAGGTATTTTGGGTCATCCATTTAAACCACTGTTGAATAAAAAGAGTTGCTGAACTGTCTCTTGTACCTGTGGTCCTTGGTCAACCCCAGGCACTAATGGGTTTCCTAAGACTTTGGATTTGGCTCTCTCCACACTGAGGCGGACAAACTCTTCGTAGATCGGCTCCTCTACAAACACCCTGGATCCAGCCAGACAGCACTGCCCCTGGTTAAAGAACAGACCACTGTGGGCCTGCTCCACTGCGTACTCTACTGCAGTGCAGACATGAACACAAATGAAAGCATGAGACTATGTAGTTACTAAGCTTCATTTACGACCAGGAAAATCTAAGCAAGTTGTTTTTCATCTACACTTAAAGTGCAGTAACATGTGAATCAATTAAATGTACTCAGTCTAGTCTGCTGTCTCTACTGAGCAGATCATCAAACCTGTTTAATACCTCTTTTTCATACAATATTGTTCCTATAGATGAACAACCATTTTTAAAGCCTCTTGTCCTCCTTATTAGTACAAATAATCAAATCCCTGCATTCAATATAGAATATGCACACAATCCACATGGTAAAGGCACAAAAAGAATACTTCATTAGTATTTATAAAGTAATCCTTCACTACTCACAGTCACAGTCTGCAAAAACAATATTTGGGTTTTTTCCACCAAGCTCCAGTGTAACTCTTTTAAGGTTGCTGTCACCTGCAGCCTTCTGGATAAGTTTCCCAACCTGGCAACCAAAGACAACATCAGATACACAGTAACACTGCAGTGAACAAGTTCATAGAAATAGTTGCAAAGACACTAAAGCTGTAGAAGACAAAATAAGAGAAATCTGATGAAATTGCCATTTATTTCAAAGGATACTAACAGCAGTAGATCCAGTGAAGGCTATTTTGTCTATGTCCATGTGGTGGGAAATGGCACTGCCTGCTGTATGACCATAACCTGGCACCACATTCACCACACCTGGGGGAAATCCAGCCTGAGCCCCAAGAGAAGTGGAAGAAATTAAATACATGACTCATCTTTAACTGGGACACAATCTTAGTCCTCTACTTTTTACAATTGCAGATTTTGGTTAATTGTTTTTGTCCACATATTCTTTGTTCTTTTATTGTTGGCAGACAGGGGAGATAATAACTCAGGCACCTCTTTGATGAGTGCAGCCATGTGCAGTGCTGATAACGGGGTCTGCTCTGCAGGTTTGATGACTACAGTGTTCCCGCAGCAAAGGGCAGGAGCGATCTTCCATGCAAACATCATCAATGGGAAGTTCCACTGAAGCAAAAAAAACTATATGTTTTTTGGTATTCAAGTTGCAAGTTCTGTTCACATTCATCTCATGGTTCATACATGCTACACATGGTTCTTGATTTTTGAGGTCTTGGATAAATACTTTGCCAAATGTATCCATGTTGTTGATTTGAATAAACAAGTTAACATTATTGCCCATGCTTAACTAGTCAATGACTGAATTCCTGCACATGTAAAATATAAATGTAAATTAAAGTTTTTAATATTTTGCCTAAAACAACAGATTATTTTACACAGAAGTGTAAAAGCGATAATGCTGGTCCTTAATAAATTGAAGCCTTGCTCATTACAGTTTCCATAGTTTCTGTTGAATCACTGATTGAGGTAAACAATGTCATGCATCAAGTCTTGTGTTTATAGGGAATGCTGTTTCCACTTACAGGAATGATCTGGCCACATACTCCAATGGGCTCATGCCGTGTGTAAGTGAAATACTCTCCATCTAAAAACAGAAATACAGTTATTGAAAACATGGCAATATCTAATAAAAATCTATTCTTTAAAGTTGTTAGAACCCATAGTGCTTGTGCCGACTAGTGAAAAAAGTGTTTCTCACCTACAGGGATGGTTTTGCCGTGAATCTTGTCTGCCCAGCCTCCATAATATCTCAAGGTTTTGATTGAGGCCAACAGATCTACAAAATATGCCAAGAGGAACACTTTTCCAGAGTCCAGACTCTCTAGTGTCTACGAATACAAAAGACAACAAATATTGGGCTTCATTCTTTCCCCTACAAACAGTTTTATCTGAAACAATATTGTAAACCATAATTCACTATATGTTTGCATGTTTTTCTCACTGCCAGTATTAGCCGGTCTCGCTCCACTAAGTCAGCAAGTCTGTTAAGTAGTTGACCTCGGTCTGAGGCGTCCATGGATCGCCATGGTGACCCTGACTGGAAGGCAGCTCTGGCACTACTCACTGCCTCGTCCACATCTTCCTACAAGAGGTGCAAGATGAGAGTAGATCACAAAACTTTACTCAAGTCAGATAAGTTTTACTTGCATGACCCCAAATCCCATTTCACAAATTTGCCTTAAGAACACTTTCTGTCCATAAACACCTGTTTCAGATAAGGAAGAGTCAATAAAAAGTATTTTCATTGGGGAAAAAATGGAGAAAAAAACTATTTAGACGCCTTTGCATCTTCATAGTATACATACTCATGCTCTTTTACTTTAATATACTCACTTGGTCGGCCTCCTCCACTTCACAAAGCAGGTTCCCTGTAGCAGGATTATAGACAGGAAGCTTTCTCCTGCTGCAAGACTCCTGCCACTGGTTATTGATGAATAACTGTGATAACAGAGTGAAATTATAGAAGAATAAAACCTGTAGAAACAGCTTCCTCAAGTACATTTATTCCTCATGGCGGAATCTCCCACACAGATTAACTGAAAAGAGATCAAAGACCGTCCTAAACACACAGTGCAGTGTATCAGCTCACCTCAGCCTGATACAGTTAATAACAGGCTGCCTTTATTTATAAGGGAATCCTTTTATTCCTTGTTATATCACATGAGCAACATCTGCATGCTATATAGCTTAAATAGTATTTACAAGAAATCCAATCAAACAGAAAACTAAATGACCTACATACCCTATGCATTTCACTATAGCCCTAACAAAGACCAAACTGGAGTTGTCTTTTCACTGTTAGAGCTAACCTTGGTGTATTGAATGGGGGGATCTGGGATGGGCATGGGCAGGGCATGCGGCTCAGCTCCATCTACATGCTCCGGGTGGTTGCATCCGTTCTCAGAGTTCATGTTGCCATTTTTTCTCACTGAAAAACACAAAAGGAAGACATTGAGCTTGTTTCTGTGCATACATGTGTTTATCCATACACTGTTCTGCATGTGTATGTGAACAGTTGATTGTGAAAGTTAATATATGGACTACTGAGTGAGAATAGCTGCTTTCCCACACCATAACCCTGTGCTGGAGAGAAGGTGTGCCAAATTAGGTACTGGCAACGTCAGCAGGGTAACACCACAGGGTCAAGGGTCAAGACTGGCACTGTAAAGTCAGGTTCACTCTGAGCTGTGGACTGGACTGACCCTGTCTGAGGAGAGAACATCGAAGAACAGCAGGAAGCAAGCCAAAGGAAAATACCAAGAGAAGTGTGCTTCATCATATTTGCCAGACAGCTCAAAGCATTGAAGAGAGGAAGGAAACAGACAAGGGTACGATTACAAAAAAATGATTTAGAATATTTCACCTTACATGCAGAGGCATATGGAACAACTTTGTAGCCTAAATCTTTAGTTTCCTGTAATCTAGATGAATCTATAAATAGTATTAAATAACCTTAATTATAGAAAAGGAAATTGACAATAGTCCATCTCCATTTACAATATAAAGCAATTAACTTAAAATTAATGTGTTTAGTTTTTAGTAATCCCAGTAAATAGAAGAAATCGACTTTTACAATAATTTCCCTAATAATTAATACAAAAATTGAAAAAAAAAAAAGTTTGAATATTGTGCTGAATTTTCAGTTCGCCACTTCTTCTGACCAGACTTAGCCTGACTTCACAGCTCTTAAAAACTGTAAGCTACTTGACTTATGTTAAATGAGTTTGACGTAAAAGGTAAGGCAATTAAACAAGCACAGTAGGCTACTTAAAATAAACAAATGTAATTCAATGATCTTTGGATAATGCATTAAATACTAGAAAGTTAAGAAAATTAGCAGAAATAATAATAAACAAATAAAATAAATGAAATCTCAAAAAAATAAAAATAAGACTTGTAATAGAATAGCCTACAAATATTATATAAGGTTGAGTCAAAGACAGTGCAACAATAAAGTTGTAAACCTATGATAACAGAGTGAAAGTGGCACAAGTGTAAAATCCAGTAAAAGCTTACCTGTAGTTTTAAATACAAAACACATCTTTTTTTTCTGTCAGTTTAAGGGTATAAATTAAACGTTTTTCTCACCTGTGGAATATGCAGGTGGGTTTCCTCCGGTTGGAGTAGTTCCCTCCCCGGTCACCGGCATGTTTCCGCTCTCTAGTCTCTCCGTCAGTGGACAACAGCCCGCCGAGCAGCTTTATAGACCCGCCGCTCTCTGCTCTGCTCCGCAATCAAGAAAGCTGCAGCATCACGCACGATCACGCACCGGGAGTCCTCCTTGGTCCTCCGAGGGTCCTCTGCACGCGCCAATCACCGTTCAGACGGAACCAATCCCTTCACCTCACGTGCCCCGGGCGGGAGGCGCGCGCACTGCTTTTAGTCATGAAGAACAAGAGCCTCTGCTTAGGTCTATAGTAAGTTTTTCCTAAAACGTGCCCAATTTATTGTTAATTTAAAGACATTTTTAGTTTGCATTTTATGCTTATTAAATAGTTTTGAGTCAGGAAACGCACGTTCAAGCTAACTGAATTACTCGATTTATCTTAAGACGACTTTAATTTCAACCCTTACTACTGCTAGTAAACTTTGTTGTATTTTTAGACGTATAGGCCTGTACCATATCTATACATTTCCCTTTCCCTTCATTTTTCTTTACTTTCATGTTCCTACTAAATGTACTTTTCCCTCTTAAACCTCAAGGTTATCTGTGTCTATTTTCAAGATGTTCCAAATAGCTTAAAGTAGCCTGGTGCTGTGCGTGTTTTAGTTAATCTGGTCATTTTTCATTAATCTTCATCTTTTATGTTGTTTGATAACTTTTGTTTCCAAAGGAAATTATGGTAATGTAATGACCAAGTCCATATCCAGAAATGATAAAATAATAAGAATAATTCCAAGTGTTACTTTGAAACTGAAGCATACAAAAAAGGCCTTCTCGAGGCAAGACATTTGGACTTTCCTGTGAGGTCATAGCCATCCTCCTGTTGTTCCTTTTGCAACATTTGCAGAACTTCCTGTCCTCTTGCAGCACAGAGGACGAGCTCATATTATTGGGAAGATTTTTGCTTTGATAAATTGGCCTCCTGCTGCGTCGCTGTCTCCCAGGAACAATGCGAACACATAACTGTGTCTGGTGCGCCTATTTTGATCTTGGCTGTCTGGAAATACACACATCCCTTTGAGAATTATCCCCAGGGAAAACACAACCTCTTTAATTAACCCCCATTAAATGATGGAGTGATGCAAACCACAGAGTAAACTACTATTGTGTTTAACTTTAGTCCTCATAGTATCATCCACAGGTGTTTAAACAGGCAGGAAAACAATCTGTGTGGAGGGTAAAGGTGGACTAAATGTCATGCAGCTCAAAAAATATCACTGTATGAGTTGCCATATTAGGAATTGGTAATTTCTTCCCGTAATATTGGTATCATATGAGTCCCAAAACTCCTCTAATAGCCTTTACTAAAACGTATTGTAGTCCAGTTTGAGCATGTCTGCATGATTATTTAAAAGTTTTCAGTATTGTAGGCTATGGGGGTCAGGTCTATAACCACATGTAATCATGTTTTACAGTTTGACCACAAGCAACACCTTCCCTGTCTAAAACAACTAACTATCTAGTCTGGCTTCACAGAGTCAGTGTGTCTCCTTCTGTCAGCCCTAATGGCGAGACTGGATCGCCTCAGTCCGGAGAGGACTTGTAGTAGCGGGTCAAAGGAGCTGTCGCTTGGCCTGACAGCACCGGGTGTTCCACAGTTGAGCTTTAGCTAAACTGACGGTTGGGTAGAGATTTTGAGAGAAAGAAAGACAGAGATAGTGAGAGAACTAGTGAGGAGGACTAATACAGGCATGAATGAAAGTTAGGACAATGAGGATTAAGATACCAGGGAGAAGATGGAGAAAGAGTGTTGGGAAATAAAAACCTTTGGTATAAACCACATTGTAATGGTTTGAGAGGGCAGTTAACTCTGCAGTTGTCTTTAGGTTAAACATATTTCTGTTCCCAAAACAAATAATCTGTTTTTTGCATTTGTTTGTAATGACATATTAAGAGCTAAAACTTTAAACAACTACAAGGTGTTAATACCAGCTGCATGAATGTGGAGCCATTCAATCATCCTTTGTTTTGTAGGCTGTATCAAAGAGGTATAGAATCATCTTGATTTTGTTTCTAATTAGTGTGTGAGATTGTTTTGTAAGATTGTGTGTTCAGGTTTTTTCTTGTACAATCTGAGGTGTTGTGGTTGTGTTGATACATGTGGCAGCCTGGAAGCATGACCTCAGTCCAAACCTAAGACTTGTCTGGTCCAAACGGTGGAGGACATGATGTCAATCCAGACAGACAGCGAGACAGACAGAGAGCGCCCCCTTGTGTCACATCAACAGAAATAACATTGATAAAAACAATGCTGGGGTCTCAGACCTTGTGATCCAGGATGTACTCAGATCCTTAATTTAGGATTGGAAAAGTACTCTAAATTGTTTACTATACAAAAAAATCTTATTATTTTAGAAAAATGTTAAATACTGGATGTTTTTTTGAAGGGATGCTCATACACTCATATTTTTATGTTATTTTTGCCATCCTTGTATATAAAAATATTTATATAACAGAAAATCCCTTCAAATTCTTACAAACTAGTGTACTGTAATGTTCCCTCTGTGAGGGACAGAGGGAACATAGAGGAGGGGCCCATGACGTGAATGGTTCCAGTCTGCGGTCAAATGGACCGATGCGGTCACTGGCTGGCCGGGACGTACTCTTCCTTCACACTGAGCCAACTTTGTCGCCATTTGCGTCTCCCTATTGTGAGCGTGCAGCAGCTCCCTCTGCAGGGGGCCCGGCTGCTACTGAAAGGGACGTCCCTGAGTAAAAGCTACTCCAACCAAGAAGTTCCTGCAGACCAGATCTCAGACTTCTGCCTCCTGAGTGTTTGGACCCCTGCTCTGCTGTCTGTTATCTGGGTCTAAATCTCTCAATTTTTAATCAAATTTACACCATAAACTGCATGGTAAGTTTTTGAAAAAAATCTTTGTTTCTTTCTATTTTACTAGTTGTCTTTTTTACTTTTAGTAGGCTACTTTTTCAAGTCACAACCTTTTTAATTGATTGAATTTGATCAGCACCTCTTTCTTTTATGGTGTTTGCAGTTTACTTGGCAAGATGAGACTGACGTTTGGGACTCTGTCTATGAAAGAGAACTCTTGTGCCTCCGTGTCTGGTGTCACTGTTGCTCTGTGTCTTCTGACCCTCCTACTGATGGCCCTCAGGGGCCGAAAAAGTCACTACAAATACCCCCAATTAAATCAAACAAAATATCCCCCTCCACCTGGCCCAACGCCATGGCCGCTCGTTGGTAATTTGCTTCAAATGGGGGACCAGATTCATCTTTCTCTGACCCGTTTGAGGCTCCAGTATGGTGATGTTTTCCAGGTAAATAGTAAATACAATAACAATTATTGAATTTTTTTCTGATGGATAGAGAACAAGTGTAAATTATTTAATCCATATGTTCACCATAGATGCGCCTTGGCTCTCTGACTGTGGTGGTCCTGAGTGGCTACTCCACCATCAGACAAGCACTGGTTCGGCAAGGAGAAGCTTTCGCTGGAAGACCTGATCTGTTCACCTTTTCTGCCGTAGCCAACGGGACCAGTATGACCTTCAGTGAAAAGTACGGACCGGCCTGGATGCTCCATAAGAAGCTGTGTAAGAATGCCCTCAGGTCATTCTCACAGGCTGAGCCCAGAGGCTCCGGCGCCAGCTGCCTGCTGGAGGAGCACATCTGTGCTGAGGCAGCAGAGATGGTCGAGGTGATTCAGCAACAAGCTGCAGCTAACGGGGATATGATAGGTGTAGATCCGGTTAAGGCCCTGGTAACGTCAGTAGCAAATGTTGTCTGCGCCCTCTGCTTTGGTAAAAGGTACGACTACAACGACAAGGAGTTTCTCACTATTGTTCACATCAACAACGAGGTCCTGAGGATCTTTGCTGCAGGGAACCTGGCAGATTTTTTCCCTGTGTTCCGCTACTTTCCGAGCCCATCTCTGAGAAAGATGGTCCAGCATATCCGCAGGATGAATGGATTCATGGAGCAGAGCATCAAGGAACACATCAACACCTTTGATAAGGTAAGGCGGCCGGCAGGGGCAGATATTCACATTTTCAAAGGAAAAGCAGAATTTCACACTGAGACATTTATTTATGTTTATTTTTAACCATTGCAGTTACTTATGAGGCTATAATTATCAGGAGACAAAATCACTTCCACTTCCTATTGTAGCCATTTATTCTGACCCATTTGATTGAATCTTGTGTTTTGGTTATTGGCATGGAGTTTTAATGGGCACCTGCAAAAAATGGAAAGTAAAAGAAAAAATGACAAATTCAAGGGTTAAAGGGACATGCAGTGCAAAATATTTATTTAATGAAATGGAAAAACTACCATGCCACCATAGAAATGTGTTAATGTATTAATATCTTAAAGACTAACCAGTCACTGGCTTTTCAAACACTGGACAGTATTCATATTCATAGTTCAGAAAAGCCTAATGTGGGGAAGGTGTGCCTTTAGGTGTTGTTTTCTTTTGATCTGTCTGACTAATTTGTCATTTACACTTTAATCTAGAATTTCATTCACACAGAAATAGCTGTGAGTTCAACTGTAGCCAAAAAAATAACAAACAAGTTCCCTTGGAGGGACTTTTGTTCTTGTGCAGAGTGGCTAAAATGTTTGCACGCACTCTAATTAGGAATTAGCATCCCACTGGAAGACACGTGTCGAACCATAACTGATTACTATCTCTTTCTTAATAATTGCTGTTATTAATTTGAAATGTGTGTTATTATGTTTTCAATATGTTATTAATTTATTCATTTCCATCTCTCCAGAAAACAACCTATAGTCGCTAAAGAATTCTGGATGTTTCAATGATGATGAGATTGATTTAAGACTGACATGAACAAAATCAATTTAAAGTATTCTTTCATGTTTGTGTGTTTGCAGAACTGTATCCGGGACATTACGGATGCTCTGATTTCACTTTGTGAGGACAGAGAAGAAAATAAAGATACGGCCATACTTTCCAACTCTCAGATCATTCACACAGTCATAGACATCTTTGGAGCAGGTTAAACACTATTGTGTATCCTCACTGATGATAAATAGTGCTGGCTAAGACTGTTTATATTAATGTAGATTATTTTGATGTAGATATTTTGTGTTGTTTGCAATTTTCTAAAGGATTTGACACCATCATTGCTGGTTTACAGTGGAGCATGTTGTACCTGATCAAGTTCCCCGACGTCCAGGCTAGAATACACCAGGAGATAGGTACTGTTTTAACATGAAAGTTATGACTTCATGTGTGTTTTTCTCCAATATTATACAAGTAACACAATAAATCTTTACAGTCAAAGAGGATGGTCGATGGCAAATTATATTAAGTAAGCATCTTCATATGCTCATCTTATCTTCAGTGAAATAATTGATTAATCGATGCCATTCTGAATAATCAAAACACATAACGTTTCCAATTAATGATTAGCATCACCAATGTAGTTTTTTTTTTTAAATTTGGCTTCACATAAAGTAGCACTCAATATATAAAACAGAGATACGGATCATTACTAAACTAAGCTCCTATCAGTACAAAGAAAGCGTTCAAAAGGCCAAAATATGTTTTCAAGGACTCTGTGATAAGAATTCATTATGCACAGGAGGAGCTAGGCAATATCTGTTAGGAAGTATCAAACTTTTCAGGCAGACTCAACTAAATGACCAATCTCGTGCCCTTGAAGAACAGTTAGCCACTGGATAAACCCACAAAAGATCGGTCCAATTTGCTGACGCCAGAGCTACTTTTGAAGTGGGACAGAACTGTCTGTTCTGAGGCACGTTGCATTTTCACACAGAGAAAGAGAGGGGGGGGTGGGGGGGGGGGGGGGCGAGAGCAAGGGAGACACTACGAGGAGACAGGGTGAATCAGAACAGTGAACGAGGCACAAACAGCCTGAGATAGAAGGAAAGGTTAGAGAGTTGGTCCCGGCCGGCACAAAGGCCGAAACACGCAAAGCATTGATTACACATAGTTTAACATTCTTCAGTAATGCATCACTTTAATTAATTTATCATTTTAACAATTCCTCCTTTGAGAAGCCTTATTACCTTAACTGGAAACATTATTAATGGATTAGTCAGAGCAACATTCTTGGAACTCCAACTTTTGTCATTGTGATTATATGTAAAGTGCCCGATCATGCAATATTAGAAACTCCAAAGAAACAAAACTCAGCCTTTTTTCAACCCCCAAGCACAGCTATTTTTTCAAACAGAAAACTTTTAAGTTTTACTATAGTCTAATTAAAACTAACTCTAATCCAGTTACCTCAGAAACCTCTTATATAGACTAAGAGTTATTTCATTTAAATTCAGATACAACTTCAGGGTCCTTGCATTCAACACAGCTCCTAACACTTATATAATAATTATAGTAGTTATATTACAACATGGAGTCTCATTTAACTACTGCCCTTTTATAAGCAATTTGATAAATCTTTCTTGTAGAATAAAATAAAATAACAACAAACTATGGTTGAATTGCTCAAATTTTTGAATATCACTTGGATGCAACTTTTTTTCTGGTTGTGGTTTTTTCTATTGTAGATGAGTACATTGGCACAGCCAGACTGCCTCTGTTTTCAGATAAGCCCAAGATGCCATTCACGGAGGCGTTCATTTATGAAGTTTTTCGTCATGCTTCATATGTCCCGTTTACCATTCCTCACTGGTAAGCACTTTAGTCAACAGTACATTCATATTGAAAGTGCGTTGCTGTTAATTTTTGCTTTTCCCTTTCAGTACCACGAGAAACATCACCCTGAATGGATATTTCATTCCCAAAGATACTTGTGTCTTCATCAACCAATTTCAAGTCAATCGTGACCTGTGAGTATAGTTATAACAGTCCTCATAACATATTTGAACTTTCAAAAAAGGAAAAGGTGCCTGTCTCTTTTCAGTATGGAGGTTTTTTTTTACTCCTAAACCATTTTATTGATCTTCATACTTACTTCTTAACAGTGATCTTTGGGGTGACCCGGACACATTTCGGCCTGATCGCTTCCTGGGTTCCTCAGGACTTCTCAACAAGGAGCTGGCAGAAAAGGTCCTCATCTTTGGCATGGGGAAGAGACGATGTCTTGGAGATAAATTTGCCCGTTTGGAGATGTTTGTCTTCCTGACCACTCTGCTCCACGGGCTGCGGATAGAAAATGTACCAGGGCAGGAGCTGGATCTGAGCACTGATTTTGGCCTGACTATGAAACCACGTCCATACAGGATTACCATCTTTTCGAGGGTGTAGACTGTCAAAAATTCCAAATGATTCTCTGTATGGAAGTTGTGGAATATCACAACATACATTCAAAGTATTACATTTAATAGCCATTGTATTTGGCTTAACATGTTAGTGCCATAGAGTTACATTACCTCTATTGATAAAAAGATTGGAATTTCTTTCTTTGGGAAATGTGTTTCTAAACCGAACAAAAAAAGGGAAAAAAACTTTTTGTGCAAATGTGTACGGTTTTAAAATTATCTTAAAATAGCATTGAATATAAACTAACTTTATGTTTGTATTTATGACAATCGAGGGTCATTCAGAGTGCTTCTTTGCCAGAACTTTGAAGCGTGGAGTCCCACCGCCTTCCTGTCCCGCATCACATTAAAAATGAAACTAGCTTGAAAACAGCCACTCATTAAAAGCCTTTATCTAAAGTTATTAGTTACAGTTAAACACTAAGGGAGGAAGAGAGAGGCTGTTTCAGATCAGTGCTTCAGGCCTCAAACTGTGTTCATGCAGGGTTCATCTTCACTCTCGTCAGCCCGCCTCTTCTCTTTGTTTCAACTCTTCTCCTATCTCCTCCACATCAGTTAAGAGTTCTTCAGTAATCAGTTTCAGTTCTCATCCCCCTTATGTCTTCTTCCTGTCCTCATCGCCCTTCCCTTGTTCCTCCTCCTCCTCTTTTTATTTTAGCTGCAGGCAAACTCTGTTAAGCTAACACATCTTCTGTCATTTCCAAAGTCTCTCTCAGCGGCCTTCTGAGGAATTACGCAACAAATATATATTAAGACATACAAGTCCCTCGTGTTTTTGAATATCCTCATCCTCGCCCATCGGTACTGTGACCTCCCCCACACTAAGATAAGATATCGTGCCAGACATCTTTCAGGGATGTAGAGAGAACAGAGAAAGTGTGAAATCGGCCATTTCTAATTTTATAAGCCAAATGTAAAGCATGCATAGGAACAAAAGAGGAGCTAAGCAGGAATACTAATGAGAACTTCATCCCTTAATAGAAAGTTTTAAGTCATTTTGATACTATCATCCATCCAGAGAAAGTGTACTGACTTCCCTTTTTGATGGCGCAGTGGTTAGTGTGTGCGCCCCATGTGTGGAGGCAGTAGTCTTCCAAGCGGGCGGCCTAGGTTTGAATCCAGCTTGTGGCTCCTTTCCCGCATGTCATTCCCCACTCTCGCTCCCTGATTTCAGACTCTATCCACTGTCCTATCTCTACAATAAAGGCACAAAAAGCCCAAAAATAAATCTAAAAAAAAAAGAAAAAAAAGATTTTACAGACACTTTAAATGTCGGACATTGAGTAGTTACACTCGGACAGAAGCAGAGCATTTCCCTTACCTTTTGGTACTTAATTCACTCTAGGACCATTTCTCTCTTATATTGAGCTCAGGATGGTAGCTTAAATATTGTTATAGTTTTGCACTGCTGTTTTCTGTTCATCTTGGACACCAGTGACTAACAGGACCAGAGCAGGTGGCATCCAGGAGAGAATGGTGGGAAACCTGACTGACAATAGAACCGTCTGCAGCAGGGTCGGAGTTACCTTTTCTAAACACCAATGATTGAAGCCCTCACACCATAGACCCCTTGAATAAACTACACACCCTTACAGAAAACAAAGTCAAGCAGTTCACCTGGAGGCAGTATGGAACACGGACTAAACTGGACGGAAAACATGGATACAACGGAAACAGCAACAACCAGTCAGCAAAATACATCTAGGACGCACAGCTGTGGATGATCCAAGGTCACCTATCATGGTCTATGAATCCATTGAGAGGGAGGAAAATGCAGTGGGGAAGGGACCAGTCGCAAGTTTGCACTGCATTAGCAGGTGAGACAAGAAGAGCTTCGAGCCTGGTAGAGCAATACAGTGCTGCCGTGCACTTGCAGTTGCATTGCAGTTTGTGAAAGTGACAACCTAGCTTTCCCAGCAGGAAGAGCACCATAAACAACAGGAGCAGTATGATGAGATTGTGAACCCACAAGAGAAGGAACACCAAACTTAACTCAACTTTAATTTATAAAGTACCTTTCATACATGCTAGCGTGCAGCCCAAAATGCTCGACAAAAATACAAACAGGAAAAAAAATAGAAAAATTGCAAATTACAAAGAAGAAACCAATACGCTTGGCGGAATTCAGGTGGCTAAGACCACCTTATGCAACAAGTACTCCCAACTCACCCAATTCAACATCCTTGGAAACATCTAAAAAAAAAAAAAAGGCGCAGAGATTACAAGTTATTCTGTGAAAGAAGATTTCCCCCATTCAAAAAGAAAGGCAATATAGATTTCCTCAGGTTGGTGAATTCTATATGGTTGTCTGGAAAACTTGGATCAAAGTAGTAGAGCGGAGAAGGGGGGGTTTAAAGACTCTCTGGGGCCGTCTAAAATCCAGACTTACAAATCTAAGGTGGGAGGCTTTGTAGAGCGAAAAAAAAAAAAAATTCAATCAAAAGAGCACCCCAAGGTTTTTCTAGTAATAATACATCAGTGTTTTCTTTAAATTGACAAATGAAAATCTTACATATTGAGACAAGTCTTTTAAAATTAGACACTCAAAGCGATCAGCACCTGCAGGGCGGGGGACAGTGTCTTGTGTCAGTCTGACTCCTGCTGTAGTTGAAGGGAGAGCTCCTTAATTCAAACAGGGCTCGGCAAAAATAAAACTTTTAGATCGGCTCACTGTCTGAGCAAATTTAAAGGGGTTTTGTGTGCAAACAAGGATGACTCTCTTCCCCTTTCTTAATGGCTTTTCTACATTCATCCTTGTTGCCATCGTGTTTTCTGACTGTTACTTTTTCTGTTTGTGTTACCTTGGTGTGATATTCTAATTAATGCCTGCTCAATGCTAGGTGTAAAAGTTACTCCCATGTGCAGCTCAAACAGGGCTTAAGTTCAACTGGTGCACAGGGTATACCTTTAGGTTGGTCATAAGTTTCATCTCTAAAATGGACTTAATGTTACACACAGGCATATGCCCAGCTGGTGCACTTGACTCCAGATCTGTCAGAACAGAAGAACTCTGGGATACTTGTGACAACTGCACAAGCACTGGAGAGCTACATATTTGAACAACTCAAAACAAGAATATCCCACTTGGCTCAACAGGGAAGGTGCCTTGCCCTCCAGAACCTCCCTTCCCTTTGTTCCCATTAATCCCAAGTAGACAGATCAAGCAGGTGGTATAGAAAGCAAGGTTCGCATCTGCACCGGGACCAAATGGCATATCATTCCAGGTATATAAGAACTGCCAGAGAAGCATTTTTTTTCATGGTGGTGGTTGCAATAATCATGATGAACTTCCTGTCCAACCACTAAATTAACACTAAGGGTACCATGGTTTCCTGGTTGCATTGAACTTTCCCCACAATGTTGTACATCCAAACACCTAAAGAGGTAGCCAAGTAGTTTGGCTGGAACCAACAAATGCCTAAGGATCTGTTCCACACTAGTTCATCTCTTTAACTTCCTTCACCTCCCAACAACCTATATCCAAAACTTAGTTTTTACTTAACTCACTCACATATCTGCTTCACAAAAGCCACTACTAGTTGGCAGCCGCTCTTAAAGAGCATGATGAGGGGTTATCAATTTAGCCAATCCTTTACTTGGGATACACCCTTATCCTGGGTTTTTGTTTCACAATATCTTTTTTGTTGCTGATTAGTTGTAAATGTACTGACGTAACCTATTTTTATAAACTGTTAAAAGTTGAACACAGTAACAGCATTTGAATAGCTTACCATGAGTGTTGCATTAGAGCAAAAATGACTCATGTTAATCTTGTGAATGTTATGGAGTGGAAAGCTGAACGTTTTTGCACTAGAAGGCAAGCAGTTCAAATATATTTCTCTGTGCTAAACTTAAACTTGTGTTCATGTGTGATTTGTGACATTGTACGCTAAGCTGATTGTCTGATATTACAATTAGTTTTGAGGCCAGTTCCATTGCTAAGTTCATTAAAATGTTTTTATTAAAAAGTTAAATTACCTCTTGAAAATATTTCAGTATTAGACTATTCCTCTTTATCATCTTTATCTTTTTTTAAACATGGAAATAATAGAATTAGTTAACGACAAATTATGAGTGACTCTAGTTTTGTCAAGTTAAATGCTGTATTGAATGTTCACTCCTAAAGATATGTTTGCATGGTAAATATTAGTTCGTGTTACCTGACAATAAAGTGGTAACTCACAACTTTGATGCGTCTGCATAATTTCTACTTTAAAAATAATAAGTGTAATTAATATTTTTTGTACTATAAGACTCTTCTTGATAAATTCCAAAATTGTCTAAAAAAAACCCTAAGCCATTTACTGTTTCAAAGAAATCATTGTCACTGTGTTGCTATGTATACAAATCATGTACAGTGGTAAATTGGTTTGCATAGATTAATTAACAAAACACACTCAGAGAATGAGACCTCAGCCCCCTCTTCTCTTGCTCTCTGTGTCTTTGTGTTCTAGTCCACAGAGCACAGTATGGCTCAAACTATAGCCGACATTAAAGAATAACAAATCACAGTGAGCATGTGCTGAGTGGCCTCTGATCTAAAGCAGCCAATAACATGAAGCATGCAAAGCCAGCAATCGCAACTCTAATGTGGCATAGCACTTGTGGGGCCCGCAGTACAGATTAAAATTGCTGAACAACTAAGATTTGGCCCACATGCAGACAAAAGATGATCTACTTATAGAAACTGTTCACAATCCACAATCAGCGTAGACATGCCTCCCTGGCTCAAATAACCGAGTTGAAGCCTCATCTCACAGATTGTTTAAGTCTTAGCCAAGATGAGACAAAAAACTCACCATTTAGTACCATAATCAATCTTTCTGTAACTCATCAGTTAATTATTCTATCAACAATAAACTCTATGAAGTTCCATTTGAAAAAACAAGACAAGAAAAAAACCTAGTTTCTTTTGCACATTTAATGTCTTTGCCTTACAATGTTATGTTACAAACGTTATCTTTACCCGCTTTATAAATCTTTTATTTAAAGAGCCCAAGCCTAACTGAAAAAACAAATATGCAATAACAACCGGACAGGGCCTTTGCGTGTTGGAGTGTTGGTTCCCAGTGTTAGGATATGACCCTGTAACAGTATAGGAACAGGTCGGAGCCCTGGAGACTTAACCTCTCAAGCTCTAATGGACAACAAACTCGATGCCTTTTTTCATAAACAATAGGAATGCAAATTGAATGACCATCTGACTTCCATTTGCCTCTTCAGTTACATGTGGGGCCCTGTACTGGATTGTGGGGGCCTTATTCTATAGAAGCATGCAGGCAGCACCCATTAGCTATCTGCACGCAAACCCATGAACGCAACAGTGAGTTCACTTAGTGATGTCACCTCAGTAGTGCTTTTACTTTGAGTACTTTAGTTTTATTGTTTTATTTATTTCCTGATAAACGTTGGAACATGTATTCCCATAAGGGTTAAGCTTTACAAACTATTGAAAATCCTCTTTAGATATCTGGAAAATATAGAGTTAAAGGCTTCTTTTGATACTTTGAGTTAAATATGATTAAGTATCAGGTAACTAAAAATATATTAAATAATATTTATATTGATGCCTCTATATGACTAATTAAAGCAAACAAGACCATCAGCAACAACACTGAGTATTTCTATAGAGCTATTTTTAACCACCGTTACAGCTGCCACCATGTTGATGTCCAATGAGGCATAAGAGCGTACACCAGGAACAGCCTTTGTGGAAAAGATTCACAGTGAGTGATACAGTTTTCAGACAATACGTCTTATACAAGATCAGCAAAGCCATAAGGCTACTACATTGTCCACCAGGGTTTCCAAGATTTGCACAAAAGGAAAGTTCCTTACAGCAGCTTTAAACAGCTCATGTTTACAATTCATGCTGTTGGTGCTGCTGTCTTGCTTCAACCTGGATATACTGTGGAATACTGTGGAGGCAGTGTGTGCAGCAGTGGTGGTTCTAGACCACTTTCACTGAGGGGGCCAAACTGGGGCCAGTTGTTTTGTCAGAGGGGAACATTAAACCCAGAGGGAAAAAAAAGACAAAGATGATCGCTTTAAAAAAATAAAAAATAAAAATAAATAAATAAATATATATATATATATATAATGCCAAAAATAGTGCACATCATTAAATACCATGATTTATATTTGTTTCAGGTATTTGATACTAGATTGTGAGTCCTGTTGTTGAGTCAAATACTGTGTATGTGTTATTAGGAGGGCTCTTCCTTTTGGAGGGGTGGCCACAGGGCGGACCAAGATCAGTGTTACAGGGGCACTGACCCCTGTTGGCCCCTGCCTTGAACCGCCAATGGTGTGCAGCACTTAAAGTCCAAGGAAAATGTCCCCAAGAGACAATAAATTATATTGTATCATACGTAATAATCAAGTTAGGCCACTCAAGAAATTGCTCTAACGATGATCCAAATGTAACACCTTTCACTGCACTATTCATCCACACAGTTTCAGACAGAGAACAATTCAATCATCGTCCTCCTCCACTGTCTGTCCTGATCTCAGCTTCATGATCACCTATTAGAAAAAGGGAATTGATTAGTTTTTGCTTGTTTGTTTTTTTTTCACATCAAAACATATTTTTGATGCTGTCAGCTGAAGAAAATAACAGTGACAAGCACCTCTTTCAGCTGGGCTATCTCTTTGCTGTCCACATTTCTCTGAGCATTGTTGGTTATGGCTTTCACTCTGGTTGCGTAACTGGAAGTTTCAATAAGTCCAGGTGTTAATTAGGAGTTTGTTAGCATTGAAATAATTTTAAAAGGCTATCCTCTCTTCTTTTTTCTCTTACATGAGAGATGTGAGTGTCTCATCCAGGTTGGATTCTGAAGGAGAAATGTTGACGATCATGAGGGTTTTGGCGTTTCCACCCAGGGAGTCCTGCATCACCTGAGAGAGATGAAATGCTGATATCACATGTGTTTGATCTTTAGCTCAGAGTTCAAGCTCCTGACTACACAAATTACCTGTGTCAGCTTGCTGTTTCTGTACGGTACATGAGGCAGTTCAGCAGACAAAGCTGAGATCACATCACCCAGAGCGCTCAGAGATTTGTTAATGGAGTTTGCCTCCTGCAGAGAGGAGAAGAGGAGAGTGTAGAGAAGCCATAAGAGATATCTGATGACGAGCCAATCAAAATTTAACATGTGATTTAACCTTAAGCTGGTGGTCTTTGGCACCAGTTTTAGCTGCTCGCTCACTACCTGCCAGGTCCACCAAGCTCAGCTTCCCTGTGCTAACACTCCCGTTGGTCAGATTCCTGCTCTCCACCATGATGCCAACTATGAGATGGGAGCGGGAACTCTCTAAATTCATCTCTTTGGAAACAGACACAAAAAGAACAGCCCGGAATTGACTTAGTTCATTGATAATGTATATTTTTTGTTTCATGTTCTGCTGTTCTATCAAATTAACTTCATTGATATCTGATTGAAAATATCATAGACTGGTGATTGTTTCATGTAATTGATTAATTGTTTCATCTATTATATAAATCTAATATTATAAGTGCAGAAAGAAACTGCAAATCCTCAAATATAGATCTTTTTCCAGGTTAAGGTTTTTAAGGTTATGCCTTTGAATGTTAACAGATTGTATCATTTAATCATTAAATTATTTCAGCTCTTATCAAGTTGCCAATATTACAGGTCAAACAAAAGTACAGTAACCCATGAAAATATAAATAGAAAATGTGACTACTCATTTAATTGTAATTATTTGGTTCCATCTGTCTTTCGATAGTGTTTGAAAGAGTGTAAGTGTGTGACCTTTTTGCAAATTTGCCAGTATCCAACATCAATAGACTGTACTGGTATTTAGTGTAAGTGGATCTTTATTTTAGGGGCTCCAAACTTTAAGTTCATCCTGTAGCTCTGATGACTTGAGAGCATCTAGAAAACAATGTTGCTCCTCTTTATCCCCTGCGCTAATTCACATATTGGCAACTCTCCGTAATGATGTACCTACTGCCGCCCCCTCACACTGACTGTGAGTAACAGGATTAATCCAAACCATTTAGCAGGGCCCAGTATGAACTGGGCACCATGGCACGGTACAGAGGACTCACTGGTGGCGGAGATGTGTCGGTTGGCGCAGGCCTGCTGGAACAGAGCATAGAGCTCCTGAGTGCTGGAAGCCTCCTTTGTCTCTGCTCCTTGTGCGAACACAACCCCCTTTTTGTTCCTCTTGATCTCCACCCGCCTGGCCTGGCCGTGGGACTGGGCCTGAGCATGGGCCTCTCCAGCCGGGCTCACAAAGAGGTCCTGCAGTCTGTCGTTGTACAGCTCCAGCATGTAGGCAGAAACCTGAGGAACAAGGAAGACGTAATGTATGATGTGTCTCATCTCTCAAATTTGATTAGGTCTTATAACCCTCAAAATCTGTTACCTTGAAGTCAAATTTGGAGCTGTTCTCTTGAATGAAATCAAATATAGCATTAAAAGATCTTGGCATGATCCCTAGGTTCTTCTGCTCCTTGTCCCCTACCATGGTGAAGGTCTTCCCTGAGCCCGTCTGGCCATACGCAAAGATACAGACATTGTAACCATCAAGAGCCGACTGGATGAGCCTGTGGGAGAAATATATCCCAAACTACTGAGCTGGAAGTGGAAGTTGGTCTGGTAGCTGGAGAGGTGCCAGATCACTTCCTGAGCACTGCCGAGGTGCCCTTGAGCAAGGCACCAAACCCCCTCCCCACCATCAGATCAGGAGCGCCCACTGTGGGCAGCTCTGTCACTCTGACATCTCTCCATTAGTGCATGTCCATAGGATCCTGTTTGTGCATGTGTGTGTATTTCAGCCTATGTGTGTGTTGCATGACTTACAGAGTGTGAAAACAGAAATTTCCCCTTGTGGGGATCAATAAAGTAAATCTTAATTTTAATTTTAATCTGAATCTTAATTAAGCATTGGCCATCCTGTAGAACGTATCATGTCCGTTACCTGTGGGTGTCGTGAAACAGGTCTTCCTGAGAAGCTGCAGCGCTGAACACCTTGTCAAACTGAAACTCTCTCTGCCCACGAGAAGTTTCAACAGTGACAGAGAAATCATCGATTTTCTTAACAACGATGGCTTCATCCTGATCCTGTGCAACTTCAGTTCGGCTCACTGGTCGAATCCGACAGAACACTCTGATTTTACCTAAGAAACAAATAAGACAGGAAACATGAATTATTTATTAAAGTAAAGAGTGTGATAAAATAAGAACACCTTACTTTTTGGGTGTTTCATTTTAAACATTACCAATAGAGCTGGTTAGATTTTACCTTTCATGTCTTCCACCATATTGTAGTACTTCTTCCTCAGCGTCCTTTCTGAAGTGTAGTTCTCAATTATTTTCTTATTCTCCTCTTTAACTTGCTTCAGCTTGTGAGAAAAGTGTTAAAACACACAAATAAGCCTTTTACTCTATGCATAATGAACCCAGTGGCTCATGGCAGCTAATTTCATCTTAATATCCCACCATAAATGAATCAATGTTTTCTGTGGAAGGACCCCTTTGGAACTGACCACAGATTGAGCTGTGTAATAAAAGACCAACCTGTTCCTGCAGCAGGAGGAGTTGCTGACCAACACTCTTCACTCCCTCTGTGGTTCTGATTGTCCCTTTTCCCAAGATGTCCTCCAGTTCTGAGACCTCATTGCAGTCTGAGTAAAACAGAGATTAATACCACTGATTTAAGTGATGCACCAAACACTCATGTGCGGACAGAACCATACAGCTGTTGCAAGACTTACAGTATAGACATTGAAGTTACAGCATTACAGTGAATAGTTAAGTTATTTCTGAATAAATATTGTCAGTTTAAATATCTATCTATTTAGAACTTTCTTATTCAGGTGATTTCAGATATTTAGTTACCGTATATTGCAGGGCTCTCTCCACTTTTGATGCAGTCCAAAGCCAGTAGAGAGACCTCAAATCCTTTAATTGTTTCTCGTAAAGACAAAGCTGACTCATGTCCATCTAAACTGAAAAACAATAGGATCAGCTGTATGATTATAACAAATAAAGCAGTAGAAGGGATGCAGACGACCTTAAAAAAATGTAACCAGTCACTTTTATATTTACTGATATTGAGATTCATTTTTAGATGTTAAAAATATTGCCATAATCTCTAACACTTCTTGGTCGGGTGTTTTGTCCTCTCCGTCATAATTGTCTTTGTGTGACACCTGTAGATGGTCTAGTTTGTCTCTGACTTCAACCAGAGCGACCCGGTCCTCCCTAATCATGTGATCCAGAAGAGCTCTGGTCTCAGCCGCTGCACTGCAAATAGCATGAGCCTAGAAAACAGAACAGGTCACCAAAATAAACAGTGAGTTACTTCTTTCTTCTGCCACCTTCAAATGAATTTGATACACAGGAAGTTTGTAATAATAGTAGTTATTAATAATAACAACAATAATACTATTCTTTTTATAATAATTGAGCATCACCTTGTGTATGACTGTGGGGAGCAAGATGCTGCAGGGAGGCAGAGGGACAGGGGGAACAGGGCTCCTCTCTGCCTCCAGCAGTTCTGTGAGCTCTCTCTCTCTCTGGTACAGACTCTCTTTCAGCTCCTCCAGACGGGCTTTGGCCCCCTCCAGTGGCTGATCTGAATCATTGCACTCCTACATATAAATAAAACCACTTTAAAGGGTCAGTCCAAAGAAATAATAACATCTTTGTACCACAGGAAACAGGCATTGCATTTCGGTTTGACTCTGTACCTCGTTCAAACATGTTTCATATCATAATAACAGATTGTAAGTCTAACCTCATCTTTGCAATGCAACTTTTCTCTACATTTGCTCCCCAAGACAGTGTAAAAGAACGTTTCATTTTGCGGTTTTGCTGAAATAATTACTATCTTAACCATGTACTTGAGACATGAGCAACCCACCACAGTTTGTTGTTGTGTAGACAGTTCTTCATTCTTTGAGCTTTCACCTTCTTCTGAGGCTTCCTCCTGCTCCTGTGATAAAACCATCAACATCTCTTGGACCTTCCCTACTTCTTGTCTGGCCAGCTGGAGTTCCTGTATTGCTGGTCAGTGTCACAGGAAATAGTTTTAATTTGCAGAGGCAAGGGATATTTGCAGGCCTTTATCATGGATGTTTTGCAGACTCACTGGAGGCCTGGTGGTTGTGAAGGATATCCAGCCTGTTGGAAAACAGCTCCAGCATTTTGCTCTAAAAGGGAGAAAAAGTTTATTCAACATTTTTGTAATATACTTTTTTTTTAAGTTTGTACTAAAATATGACCACAAGGCAGAGCTACAGTTCAGAGGAAGAAGTAAGAGGTTGTAAAGGCTGCCAGCCTCTTATCCAACCTTTTCTCTGTGCCAGTGTAGAGCTTCCTCTTTACTCCTCCTACTCTCTGCTCTCCTCTCCTCCTGTAGCTGCTCGATCTGTGCTGTCAAAGCCTGCAAGAAAGAGAATCAAGCAATGAAAGCAATAATTAAAAAAAAATACCTAAAGCGATTTAATGGTTCAGCTATGATCTGTGACGTGCAGTAGTATGATGTCACCACCTGTAAGAGCAATGTGCTACTAGAGAGCTGCAGGGGATAAGAGAGATACTTTAACAAAAAGGGAGGAAATTGCAGGAAGTTGATTGGATTTGGAAAAAAAAAAGGACAAAACTGTGATAGAAGGGAGAGGTGCTGACAAACAAACATCACTGACCCCAACCTTCCTCTCCCAGTCTGCGTTCTTCTTCTCCACCTTCTCCTGATAGACATCTAGGATTCTCCTTAGTGTATTTAGTTTGTTCTGGTAGTGAGATCTGATCCTTTGCACAGTCCACTCCTGATTGCACAAGAAGGCCTTTGTTACTGTTTATATGAGCAATCTCTCAAATACACAGAAACACACTCACCTGGTTCTCTCTTGCTGTGACCCGAAAGTTTTCTTCCAGCTCCTGCACCATTACCAGGTGTCTCCTCTTCATTGCCTCCATGTCCTCCGCTATCTGTATTAGAATGGAAAGAACACACACATACACAGAACATATATATTAAATAGCATCCTAGTAGCATAGAATGATCAAATGACATTGAGAGTCACACCAGCAGCATCAGGGCACCATGTGAAAGTGAAGAAGAACACAACTCAGTGTCTGACACTGGCTTCATTGTTTGTTTGTGTGCTCTAATAATGATCAATGAAACACAGCTTTGAGTCACATGTCTTAAAAAACTTTCTGTTTCAAAACAAGTGATGTTTTCCAGTAATTATGTCTGGATGTATGTACTGATATTGCTTTAAATAGAAACCTAAAGATGTTGGAGACACAATATTTAATGTGACCTGAGTGATGCAGAGTTCAGCTGACTGGTATGGGATGTAGATCTTGATATCTTGCGACCTCTCTGATTCTGCAGCCTGAGCTGCATCACTGCTATCTGACAGCTGAGATTCTGACAAACCTGCAGAAATAACCAGCTGTTAATAACAATAATGTTATACAAAGCATACAAACAAAAGTGCAGCTAGCTTTATTTCTTAAACCTTAACAACTCCAAGCTCTATAACAACTTTCCTGCATATATTTATTTTTCAGCACCTTGGTTGGCCACTTGTCCTGGGTGCTTATTGCGATCGGCTCCAATCCAGTGTCGGAACGCAGTCCACCTCTTCATCCACGGTGTTTTGTGATGGATGACAACTTCAACAGTTAAACAAATGCATGGGAACAGTTCAGGGAGTGAAATATGTAGTAGAGGGGGAGAAGTTACAGCAACAGCAAGTCTTAACACATGCTTCTATTGCCTCATTATTTGTAATAGAGTTAATGTGCTGGGTCATTAAAATAGCACCGAGCCCCATTTAATAGTAACCTGATACACAACATGTAATAATTATACTATACAGATTTATATGAATCAAGTTCAAAGATGCATTTGACTGGTGAAAAGTTATGTGATATGTGAGATTTACTTTTTTGTATGACTGCTCAGTTCATATTTAATTATTTATTTTACAGAGAAACTACACTTAACTCACTCATTGTGTCAGTGTGTCAGTGTGTCAGTGTGTCAGTGTGTGTGTGTGTGTGTGTGTGTGTGTGTGTGTGTGTGTGTGTGTGTGTGTGAGGGGGACAACTGGATGAAGTCAAGACAGTTATTCACAATTTTACTTGCCATTTTTGTCACGTTTATGTTTTACTGCATTAATCATTTACTTGCATAATGACAAAGTTTTCAAACACAAATAAAACACATAAATCTCAATGCATATTTTTAACATGTATTTATTAGACTTAAAATACGGTTTACATATTTATGATTTAGTTATGATGCTGTTTGTTATCTATTTGTTTACATTTCCTAAAATTACACTTTTTCTTGAATTGCATTTTATTCAAATAAGTCTTTAGTTTCTGTTTATTTAAAAATAAAAAGATTGATCTTCTGTGTCTTTAGGTTAATCTACAATATTGACACATTCCATAAAATTCTTTCCCTCTGAATATTTGATCACTTTCTGTCTCCTTCAGACATATCCCACCCTCTCCCCTCTCTGTTTCCTCATACAGGAATGTGGGCGTGTCGTCATGCTGCTACTTTCCTCCCAGAAACACCTTTTAGTGAAGAAACAGAGGTTATATCAGGAATTACAGAGAACAGTTGGAAGGAAAAACAACACTCGTCTGAAGGTGGCTTTGTATTATTATTTTTTTTATTTTGAGTAAATTTGAAATTTGTAGAACTACACCTATGTACAGTGGGTACGGAAAGTATTCAGACCCCTTTACATTTTTCACTCTTTGTTTCACTGCAGCCATTTGCTAAAATCAAAAAAGTTCATTTTATTTCTCATTAATGTACACTCAGCACCCCATCTTGACAGAAAAAAAACAAATGTAGAAATTTTTGCAAATTTATTAAAAAGGAAAAACTGAAATATCACATGGTCATAAGTATTCAGACCCTTTGCTGTGACACTCATATTTAACTCACATGCTGTCCATTTCTTCTGATCCTCCTCGAGATGGTTCTGCTCCTTCATTGGAGTCCAGCTGTGTTTAATTAAACTGATTGGACTTGATTAGGAAAGGCACACACCTGTCTATATAAGACCTTACAGCTCACAGTGCATGTCAGAGCAAATGAGAATCATGAGGTTGAAGGAACTGCCCAAGGAGCTCAGAGACAGAATTGTGGCAAGGCACAGATCTGGCCAAGGTTACAAAAGAATTTCTGCAGCACTCAAGGTTCCTAAGAGCACAGTGGCCTCCATAATCCTTAAATGGAAGAAGTTTGGGAAGACCAGAACTCTTCCTAGACCTGGCCGTC